AAATGTGCGTCCAACGGTGGCTCCAAGGATGTGGCCTCCATGATCGACCAGTGGCTTTGTCCTGGTGCAATCATCGCATGGACGAACTGCAAACAACAATTCGACGATAAGCATAATGTCAAGAAAATCAAGCGTTGCCTGAATTTCAATCATTCATCATCTACCACGACAGGGAGCCTTGGCTACCTGAGTTGCATGTACTTTAAATAGATAACCATGTATTCAGATCAGAAAGAAATCACTGATTCCTTGCTGCTTGTAAGTCTTCTCATGTCCCAACTTCATGTTGTGTGTGGGAAGCGTCAAAAGGTTTGTGTGATTTGTTGTGTGATTGGCTGCGGCGAAGAGTTGGTTTGGATATGTTTGGATCGTGTATGTGTTGGAGTCACGGGGCAGTTTGTTGATGAAATGTCTTTGTATCCAGGCAAACTTGCAGCTTTGCCTGTTTTTTTTTGCTGCTGGTGGAGTTTCTATGGTACAACATTGGCTTCTCATGCTGCGCGTCGAATCGGATAGACAGATCGACGAATGTCCAAAATCTGTTTGAGCGGTCCCTGAGCCTGTCTCGGGTCAGCTCAGTTTGGATTCTGGTCTTGAACTTTCTCCCTTTCTCAAGGTTTGTGCAGTGTTTCTTTGAATTCTGTGCGTGTGCTGTTGTAGTGGCGGTCTCAGGAAATGATGCTTTGCTGGCTAAGTTCTCGAAATTGTGAACATCATTCTGCGTGCCTAGGGATGCAGATAGACAGCCGCGTCAGTGTTGTTTTCTGCATGTATAACGATTAGGGATGATCAGGGTTCAGGATACCTCAGAGGTATGTCACCAGCAATGGGTCTAGTAGCGGAAATTGGAATGTATTTTTTCTAGCCTCTGGTCACTGATTGCTGTAAATGGCCCATAATAGTTGATGTGCCGAACTTCAAGATGGTGACATCCATAGCTTTTTTGTATGTTTACCAGAGGGTAATATCGGTATGGCTCAAAACTAGGTGGGGCACCAATGGAGCCACAAACTATCACCAGTGTATAATTTTGAGCCACAACTTGGGTGGTTTTGGCGATGGCGTGAGCACATGAATTCTTCATTGTAGAATGTTGTAGTTACTCATATAGTAACTCTAAGACCACTTCACTTTAGGATACGAAAATAGAATGTATCCTAAATATGACCCAGTCATGTAGAATCTTTGCAGACCTTTGGAGTTCAAGATACCATCTGAATTGTTGAGAAGTTAACATCCTGCTGATTGCAGGAATTTATTGCACTTGGATCCCATGTTTTTGCTTGTCAAAGCATGTTTTGGACTAAGATCGAACAGCATATTTTCCTGAAGGTCCAATCTTTTGGTTCTTTGATTGATTCAGCCATGTTCCCCTTTTTTCCCTTACCCTCTGGTAAACTAACAGTTTGCTATTGAAAATGGCCATAGACATAGTGAGTTTTCCAAATTAAAATTGTGGATTTTCCATATATGTAAACGTTTACCAGAGGGTATCCCCATTCTCAATTTCCCATTAAAACCTCCACTTTCTTGTACTTTTTTGGTTCTTCTAAGATCTATCACCCATGTTCCCCCTTTTTGTTCCCTTAAAGCCTCCACTTTTCTTGTTACGAACTCACCCATGTCGGCCATGGTCGGCTGAGTCCTGGACGGACGCGCATCTGGCCACGGCGGCCATGGACGGTCGGCCCAATTGTGACCCGAAAGGATGCGATGGAAAGGAGGATATCAGTAGAAGATGGATAACTGGTTGGTGGTTTGGAACATGAATTTTATGACTTTCCATAAATTGGGAAGAATCATCCCAACTGACTCAACTGACTAATATTTTTCTAGTAATATTTTTCTGATAATGTCTATGTATCTATCTATATGGATATACTGGATCGGATAATATCTAATAATATCTATTATAATAATATCAGTAGAAGATGGATCGGATTAATATCTGGATATATGAATATAATTATATATATATGGATCAGATTAATCCATATAATATGTAATAACATTTAATAATATCTATATCTATATCTGGTTGGTGGTTTGGAACATGACTTTTATTTTCCATAATATATGGGATAATCCTTCCCATTGACTGCTGTGATATTTTTCGGAGGGTTGAAACCACCAACCAGTCTATATATATATGGATCAGACTAATCATATACTTATTCTTACTCTCTATGGATAATGATATTGGATAATATTGATTAATATAGTAAGATGCTTAAGATATTAACCAATATTATTAACATTTATTAGCCATATGAACGGACTGAGGATATCACTGGTGAAGAATGGTTGGAGGGTATCAATAGTGGTTGATGGTTAAGAGTGGTGATTGTTGGTGGTAAATGGTGACTTTCAGGATTATTGGGATTCTAAGGCTAAGGGTGGTAGGGTGATATAACCACCAACTTTGTTTTTTTTGGATAATTGGTATCTATTGTAGCAAACTTAATAAGTAGGATATCAATTGAGAATGGGGATACCCTCTGGTAAACTGTCACATAACTATGGAAAGATCCACCATTCTTCATGGGTAAAGCAAGCATTTCTATGGCCATGTTCAATAGCTATTTGAATGTTTACCAGAGGGTAGATCCTATTAAATCCCATTAGATCCCATTAAACCACCATTTTAGATCCCATTTTCAACATTTCACCTATTAATGAGGTGAGTTATACCCTCCGGTACCCTCCGGTATCAGACATGGCTGGAGAATCCCACCATGTTCAGGGCAGGCCAGGAGGCCATTAACTCGCGATGAGATAAACCGTGTGCTGTGGGTAAAGCATGTCATAAACCACCCATATGTTGATTGATGGCTCAAAAACCTCCTATTTATGGTGAATTTAAGGCGATTACGATTGTTTTTTTGTGTTTTGTTTTTTTTAACCAACATTGGCATAAACCAGCCATATTTTGATGGTTTAAAAACCACCCATTGATGGTGAATTTGGGAATGGTTTACGTTTTGTTTTTTAAACCAACATTGGCTGTTTCTGATGTATTTGTTGTTGCTTTGGTTGGCCATGAACGTATGGAGGCAACGGCGAGCTAAAACTTAATGCGGTAAAGCCAATAGTGAATGATCTCCAGTTTCACATTGACCATGGGTGTGATAAACCAAACCCAATTAAATGTATGTTTCTGCAGGGTTCAGGGTGTCTAAGAAAATCGTAAAACCCACACGTCACATGAATATTCATGTGTATAGTAGACACCAAAAGATATAGAACCACTAATTTATCATAATTTAATACTATTTAAATATCACTAGCAGATTTGACCAACTTCTATCTTCTTGGTTTAGAATATAATATGTATGATCATATTCCATCAGACTTACCTCAGCAGCGAAGCCACAAAGTTTGGTGAGGCCGATGCACTCCTTCACTCGTGAGGGGCACTTGGTGTTGCAGGAACACCCAGATTCCTCGAGTGAGGTGAGAAATGCGACTGGACTGGGCGCAGCTGACTGTTGTGAACGATAAGACTACCCTCGGATGTTTTTTTTAGAACTGTGGAGAATGGCCTATTTATAGATGAGAAACATCATGATTTACTGTACCCAAAACTGGTGATTGTCCATAGCTACGTCAAATAGAGGGTATGAGTTTCTTTGTTTTTTCTGATGTTTTTTGTTGGTTTGCAAGTTTCGAGGTCTACTTTGGGGTACCCCAATTTGATTGTTTTTGAAGCTCTTTTTTTTCCGTGAAAATAACCATTTGGAGGTATGCCCCCATTTTACCACACCCAGATCCTGTCAAACTCCGAAAACTCCTTTAGGTCTCCTCTGACGGAAACGACGCCATATAGCCCAGGCGGGATTTTCATCGGGACCCAATCCAGTGGGACCCAATGGGATATCATGCCAGAATTTAATCAGTCTGCATGCTGCGCTTGTAACGAGCAGCTCAAACGGAGCAAGCACACTGAAAAAACAAATCTGAATTCTGGTCGTACCTTTGCTGGGGCGCATACTTGGAGAAGAAACACCAAACACGAGCAAGTCTAGTGCAGTCTTCCTGAGCTGCAGTGATGCTGAAGAAAATGCTAGAGCCATGTGTTCGATGCATCGAAGCAACTCACTCCATGTTTGCAGATTGTGTTCGTGTGCCATGGAGGTGATGATACAAACAGGTTGCGCTGAGACAAAAACACGTTGGTAAACGTTTTTCACTGCTGTCAATCTTTTGCAATCATCCCAAGCTTCACTGTCAGGCATGCATACTGTAGCTTTCCAAAAACTCTTTCCTGGAATGGGCCATCTCGAAAGGAATAACCCGACTCTGTTCACTTCTTGGACACCCGGTGGCTGAGGTTGCGGAATGCCTGGCTAGCCAGGCATCGCGGACGCGGAGAGGCACCAAGTTGTTCACGTTCTTTTCGGTGAACATTGGCCGACCAACTAAGGAATCCCCAAGTACTTTGGCTACTGGTACTTGTAATATCTTGTAACTATCTCGAGGATGGATTCTCCAGCAAAAATGCCAAAATAGTTCATGATTTTTTTTTTGTGTGTGTGTGCGTATGTGTGCGTGCCCCACCTTAGAAGGTACTGCAAACGGGTACAGAGCTAGCTTTTTGTCCAAGTTTGACACAAGTGAACTCTTTGACTTGATTTTGTTCTGCTGATTTCAAAGGTGCACCACCTGTGCCATGGTCACATGTCAAAACATCGTATGGTGCCAGGCTCATCGTGTAGGGAGACCTGGATTTGATGATCTCCAAATTGTTCGCACATTTTTTGGGCTCAAATTGTGCCCCAATCTGCGATCTGAAGCGTTTGGTTTCAAAAAAACTTCTATCTAAGCCCCTACAAAAAGGAGCAGATGGCACTGATCTTCTAAGATCTTCTATCCATGTCTTTCCTATGCTACTTATAGGATCTTATAGGATAATAGTCACATGCCAACCACTTTTTGCTTCGTAACCCAATCTGCCTGCGCTAGCCATGGCGTCGGGTTTGCCCACTATGCCTTTATGGGTCATGGCAGCGCTGGTGGCCCGGCACGTGATTTTTCACGGGATTATTTCTGGGATGTGTAGATATCATGTGGTACACCCCTTATAATAAAACAATACTAGAACTGGATGGTTAAAGTTAAAACTACGCCGAAATACGGTAGGTTTATTATTGGGCGTAGCACATTGGTCAACAAAATTGGGTGGGGGGGATCCATAGTGGGGATATTGTGCGTTAAGTGAATCTGTTGCTAAGATTGCCCACTGCAATGGGAACCTCATCGAAGAAAGCATGTAAAAACGAGGTGCTAAAACGGCGGTAAATCGTCGCAACATCATGCCAATGGCATGGAAGCACAATGAAAACGACGTTTGTTTTTCGTGACATGACACTTTTCCGCTTCTCCGATCCAACAAGGCAACATATATTTACATCATTTTATATCTATGAGAGTTGTTTTTTAACCCCGTAGTATTCGTCAAAGGAACATTGATTTTTGGATTTTGTAACCTGGCAGCCATATGGCTCGAAACGCAGGCCGCGCAAGAGCGCGCAAGGGAGAGCGCAAGGATATACATGCAAATTTGTTCTTATTTTCCTACATATTATATGTTAAAAATATATTGCGCGCATATGTTTTTGCAGGCCTGGAATTGGCTGGACAGGAGGACATAGAACAAAATCTAAACGCCTCTCCTCCTGCGGTTTCCAGAAACACGGGGTATCTTCCTACACACCATCTGAGACACATTGCCCATTTGTGCGTGTGTTTGTGTGTATATTTGGGAGGTTTTGCAGTCGACGCCTGTTCTCTTACTTCACCTTGGGGCTTTTGACTTCCAAAACAGCCGTTTTGGAAATCAAATACTCAAACAAATATTGGAAGAGGGCAGTCGACACCTCTATTTACTCTATTTTGTGACACTTTCCTTAGGGAAAATGAGCTTACGTTCTCTGAATTTACCTGGAGGCTTTTGATTTCCAAAACGGCCGTGTTTAAGTTCAGCTTCTTTTCCGGAAAGAGGGCACAGCCCGTGAGCGCCCCCAAAAGGGTCTGAAACCGGTCTGAGACCACTCTGAAACACCTTCCCGCTCACCATCTCAGACTTTATGCTCCTTCGGATACAGCATCATTGCTTTATTTAGCTTTCTAGTTGCAGGAAAGATGTGTTGATTTTGTATGTTTCTGGTTTCATTGCTCGAAGGGCAATGGCCGTGTTTAAATTCAGCCTCTTTTCCGGGAAAAGGGCAAAGCCAAAAGGATCTGAAACCGGTCTGAACCACGCTGAAACACCTTCCGACTCACCATCTCAGACTCTATGCTCTTTCGGTTACAGCATCGTTGCTTTATATTGCTTTTTAGTGTAGGAAAGATGTGTTGATTTTGTATGTTTTGGTTTCATTGCCGGACCATTTCGAAGGGCAATGACCGTGTTTAAATTCAGCCTCTTTTCCGGAAAAGGGCAAAGCCCCTTGAGCACCCCCAAAAGGGTCTGAAACCAGTCTGAAACCACTCTGAAACACTTCCGGCTCACCATCTCAGATTCTATGCCTCTTCGGGTGCAGCGTCATCGCTTTGGAATTGCAGGAGAAATGTGTAGATTGCGTGATTTGGTTCCATTAATGGACCACTTTGAAACACCTTCCCGCTCACCATCTCGGACTCCACATTCTGTTCTTGCAGAACTGATTCCAGGTCAATTTTTTAATGCAACCATGCTCATTAAAAAAAACAGAACCTTAAAAGTGACTGAAACGCAGGCCGCGCAAGAGCGTGCAAGGGAGAGGCGCAAGAACTCCTAAATGGAAACCATCTTAAAGGAACAAAAGCAACCCCCATATATATAATATTATGTCAGTTTTGGAAGATACTCTGCACATCGGATGTTGCAGGCATCATAAAATGATCATGTTCCCATCGCACCAACTAGCATGGATAGACCCTCTGAATGGGCTCTATTTTGTGGGTTGGATGATGATAAATGATGACAAATGATGATAAATGATGATGAATGGATATTTTCCGTCACCAATATGTTTTCGTTTGCGGTGGTATTTCATATTTGGTAGTTCGCATCCTATATTAGAAACTATTGTTACAGTGACAGAAACTAAGATGGTAGAAACTATGGTACAGTTGGATGTAAATATGCTTGCACATGATTATACATTAAAACCATGTTTTTTCAAGGCCCCAAGAAAATCCCAACATTCCGGGGGGTGTTAAATCCGGTGAAATCCTTCGTGGAAGATTGGCGAAGATGGTCACCTTCTTTTTCGACGTCGATGACCTCATGCAGTGATGTCGTGTTCATCAATCATTTCAATGCCCAAACTAACATGATAAATACAATCTAACATATATATATAATATAAATTTCATGGACGGTCCCAAAGCGCCAGACTCCCGGTCATCAAACATGGCTTGCGGGAAAAAAACAACATTTTGTTCGATGATTTTCCAGCGAGCTAAACCTCAATGTATAGTTAAGGGATTTCCCAGCTAGCCATGGTGAAACCAGTGGGTATGGTTGCATATTCCGTAAGACATCCCCACGATTGATACTTAATTACATACCCGATCATACCCAAAAATTATAATTATCTTACAGCTTACCCTCTCGTGATTTTAAACAGCTTGAGAACTTGAACATCACCATTAAAAAAGAACGGCATTGAAGTTAATTCAATGTAACTGGATCCAATTTCAATGTAATTTACCTGGAATTTAAACTCAACTGCCTTGAATGTTACATATTGTTCATCATTTTTCTCAACCAAATGGGCCATAGCTATGTTAAGCAGTAACCAGTGGATGGTGATCATTGGGGAAAAGCTTGGGATGGTGAACTATATCAGATCATTGGGATATAAAAAATGGGGATTTCATGATATGGGGAGTTCAATTCCCAATGGGATCCATTGGGATATTCATGATTTCCTCGGGGATATGGCAAATATGGACCTAATGGGATATGGATTCTCCAATTTCCAGTGGATATGTTTGTTTATGTTTATATCAATAACTGAAATTTATAAATGGAAATCAATAAGCTATTGGATATATATATATATATATATATTCCAAAAATGATGGATATATGAAGTTTATATGAGTTCCATTGGACATATCCATGACTGGTTGGTGGTTTGGAACACGTCGCGCGCAAAGGAAATGTGTAGAAAATGGTGGTTTGGAACATGGCTTTTATGACTTTCCATTCACTTGGGAATTTCATAGAATTTTGTAATCCCAACTGGTCCGAAGTCCATGATTTTTCAGAGGGGTAGGTATACCAAAACCACCAGCCAGATTATTATTAACCATCATTAACCATATAATAACCATTAATATTAACCATATATTAATAGTATATTACCAACCAATGGTAGGTTGAAACCACCAACCGATGATCTTTTCCCATGGATTTCCAATGGTTATGTCGGTTATGCCTAATGGATGGTTGGTTTTTTACACCGGCGTGAGGTGGTCCCTGCGGTGGTTCCTGCGCAGAGCCTCACTGGACGTGACGCCGCGAAAAGGGCGTGTCAGGTCTTTTGCGAAGGACGGATTTCCGTCGTCAGATTTGGCGTACTCTCTGGTAAACTAACATAACTATGGAAAATCACCATTGTTAATAGGGAGATCAGCTATAAATGGCGATTTTCAATAGCTATGTTAAATTACCAGAGGGTAAAAGGGGGATACAGATATAACATGGAGAGACCATTCTTGAGTCTTTATGGGGAGAATATGGTGATATGCTGATTGAACGGGAAATAGGCGCCTGGACCCGCCGGAGAGAATGTCAAATGGTAAACTAACAGTTTGCTATTGAAAATGGCCATTTATGGTTGATTTACCTGGTAAAAATGGTGATTTTCTATCATTTTTTGTATGTTTAACAGAGGGTACATATGTCATATATATATAATTATATATATGGGCAGTGCATTCTGCACGTACTAACAACTGCACGTGGAGCATTCGGTGGGATGGCTTGATCAACCATGTTGTGGTGGCCATTTGGGCTTTAGGCGGGCCACCGTAGGAACTTAAGGGTGATCTTGCCTTCCCTTTGTCTTCTTTGAAGAGGGAAAATTTTCCATGGTCACTCTTATTTCCGCAGCTGATCTAGCTGCAATTACTACGGTTGCAGATGCTCGAACTTGGGCTGGTATAAGTGAGGAAGCTTGGAACGCGTTTAGTGTAACCTTGGGAACTATACCGACGTTAGAAGTCTTGGCGTACGTCCCATTGTTCGCTATTCGCGATGCCGTGCAAGACGCGCGGGTGCCTGTTCCGGACGGGTATATCGCTGAAACCACCCGGTCCCTTACTATTGTCGAGGGCACCCAGGCGGGATTGATGGTTCAAGCAGCGCGTCAAAAATACGGGAGAGAAGCTGTTGACCCTCTGGACCCACCAGCCCCGGTGGCACCGGTTCAGGGTGGAGGGCAAGCGCAGCCAGGTACTAATGCACCGAAACCGGCTACGCTTAGGAAAATCAAGAATAACCAAGTCATCGATCAGGCAGACGAAGGAGAAATCCCCACACTGGATCATGCCACACTGGATGACCACTACAAGGTGTTGAGAGCCGCCAAAGGTGGGCCAGTCCGACCAGAGACTGAACCGTCACCGGACCAGATTGCCGCCATGAAGGCGAGGGTCCTGGAGATGGACTTGAGTCCGTACGCGGACTTCGCTGTCTTTGTCAACTTCCAGGGTCGATTTTCGAAAGCATTGAAATTCTTGAATCACGTGCTGCAACCGGACGGGACGTTCAAAGCGGTTGAAGTTTCGGGACCTCCGAACTTTGATGCCTGGACCCTGTCTTGGAAGGTATATGTCAATACCTTACTCACCCTGGAAGTTGTAGTCAACGGCACAAAGATGTCAGTGGTTTCACTCTCGGCCATGGAAGAGTACCACGACATGTTCCGGGACCTGGTGAAGAACTACCCGGAAGCATGGCACCTGTTGGTGATTGCGGAGGACCGGTGCCGAGGAGAACACTTCCCAAGGGTACGACGTGAGCTGGAGGCCCAGCATGGCAGAGGATTGGCCCCAAATTTTGAACCGTCGAGACCTTGGGACGAAGTATTCCGCACGGCCTCCCGCGACCGGGACTATTGGGACAGGCACGTTCGTGAGCCGGCCTTACTGTTCCGAACTGCAGGTAAGCACAAGGAACAGGCCGGCGGAACCGGCGCCGGCACCGATCTCACGAGCGACCGTCCGAAGGCCAAGCCCAAGCCCAAGGCCAAAAGGTCGCAGAAGGAGCGACTCAAGCGGCAACTGGCGAGACTGCGGGAGAGCACAGAGGACCCGCCGGCCTCAGTTAGCGACCCGCACCGGGGAAAGGGTGCCGGGAAAGGAAAGGACCGGGGTGCGAAGAGAGACGCCCAAGGACGATTTGTTACGGACCGTCAGGGCAAGCCCATTTGCTTCGGGTTCAACAACGGAGATTGTAAAGGGGTGTGCCCAAAGAACATGATGCACATCTGCCAAATATGCATGGGGCCCCATCCTGCAAAGGCCTGCAGGAAAGGTGCGGGGGCTTGACCCGCCCGAGCATCGCACCCGGGCCGTGCTGCCCGGGCACCGGTCTGGGAGGATGCCCCACCGCATCCCGGACCGGAAAGTTTTGCAGGCGGGGAGCGCATGGATGATGCCGACCCGGAGGCCCATTACCGTGTCTTCTGGGAGTTGCCCATGTGCGCACGGGGGCTAACTTGGGCCATCGGGAAATTGGGACTGTCAACGACTAGGGAAAGCATCACACAGAATCACGACATCACCAATGATGAGGGTTTCATTGCTGCCCTGGAATACCGGGCTCAATGGAAACATTTGGCACCACCAGGGGAAACCACCAAGAAAACACCGCTGTCAGAGACGGCAACTGAAACGGCAAACAGATGTGCAGCCATCGCGGAAGACCAAGATGAGCGAGGATTGTACTTCTCAGTTGAAAACCCGGAGGGGTCGCCGCTCTGGGAATTGAAGGCCTACTAGAGATTGGCAAAGAGGCCAGGGGTGAAGCGAATCCGGCTGGACCACTGTGCATATGGAGGCCCACACCTCGTCACCACGGCAGTAATGCACAATGCACCGTGGTTGACCGAAGGGAGAAGATGACATGAGGTACCAGCACATCGGCACACAAGGGTGAGTAAAGAGGAGAGGTCAAGTGGACGGGGTATGATCGACACCCCCACTGGACTTTACGAAGAGTGGGCCTCCGGGTGGCAAACATGGCTCAACAATTCAGAGCTAGCCACAACCAACACCGCCTCGAAAGAGACCTATGTGAGGCTGGGGAAGTACCAAAACAAGCTGGTTAGGGCTGAGCTGGTGCAGGACAGACCCCACTGAAATCCAGAGGACCCAGAGCCACGCTCAGACGAGGAAGATGTCAGCGTGGGAGGCATGAGGAATCCTAGGAAAGCAATTATGCAGATGCCCGCCTGGCAGACCTGGGGAGAAGCAGCTAATCGGGCGCTGGATGAAGTCGCCAGGGCTGTGCCGGACTTTGATAAACTGGCCAAGTCCCTGGGGGCTGAAATGACGCCCGAGGAAGCTGATTTAGCGCAAACCAGGCTCAGCAGGATTGGCAAGCTAGCTGCGAAAGCTCTCGGGGCCCTAGCTGGGTGCCCACAATGGGATGAAAAGGGCCCCACAGGATGGCGGTGGCAGTTGGTGGACGCCGTCACCAAGCAGACCCGAGACCCGGATATAGATGTGGCACGGTGGCTCGGGGGACATACACCGCTTGGCATTGACAGGCCTATCGTGCCAAGAGGGGTCTTCCAGTGGACGGACATCACGAAAGCCCAGGAGGCAAGTGCCGAATACCTGGCTGCACTCAACGGTCAGGGGCACATCGACAGGAACTACACCTCCTTCCATGAACATGAGGAAGAGTCCCGTAAGGAACTGGGCAGGTTGATCCAGGCTGGGCATCTGGAACCGCTCGGATCATGGAACGAGGTCACATCAAAATGGCCGGGTGCCAAAGCCACGAAACTGGCCACTCTCGTCAAACCAAAGGCGGATGGATCACTCAAGATCAGATTCATTGCCGATATGAGGCGCTCCGGGATCAATGGGATGGTTCACCTCGAGGAAAAGATTGCCCTACCCCGGGGGTCCGACCTTGTCCGGGACGCCCTGGACCTAATTGAACAGGGGCAAGCGGAGGTGGAACTATACACCGCCGATTTCACGGATGCATTCTTGAATCTTCCCATCGACCCAGCCGAACAGCAATATGCTATCATCATGTCAGAACCTGGCCAATACTGCGCCTACAGGGGTGTACCATTCGGACTCGCGTCCGCACCGTTGCTCTGGGGGCGTTTGTCAGCGTGGCTGGGACGAGCCGCCCAAGCCCTCCACCCGCCCGACCGCCACAGACTGCAGATTTACGTTGATGACCCGGCAGGCGTTATCCGAGGCACCCGGACACAACGTGACAGGATCATTAGCAAAACACTTGCCCTGTGGGCTGCCTTCGGAGCTCGCATTGCCTTGCACAAAGCCAGCCGAGGCAGACAAATCAAATGGATCGGGGCGGAATACACCATCGTACACGGTGGAGTTCAGATTGCCGTGGATGCTGACCGCATTCAGAAGCTTCAACGAACTGTGGAAGATGCCCTCAACCAGCAGGGCATGGTTTCTGGAATGCGTAGCGTTGCAGGCGAACTCAGCTAGGTGGCGGGCCTTATCCCCACCATTCGCCCGTTTGTCAACATGATTTGGGCGGCTGTCTACAGCATGGAAGGGCAAAGTGCCAGAGTCACCGCGGGGAAGTCCCGTGCCAGGATGCGACCCACCGGCATGGTGTTCTCTAAGGCCATCCGATTGCCCATGATCTGGATGAAGAAATTCCTGCAAGGCCAGCATGGGGGCCTCCGCCGCACCCGCTGGATCTCTGATCGTCACGCTCAACCACAGTGGGTTATCCGCACTGACGCGTCAACGTCTGGAATGGGCGGCATCCTGCTCGACCAACAGGGCAGGCCGGTACGCTGGTGGGCCAGCCCGCTCCACCCCAACACCCTGCAGGAACTGCAAATAACAGCAGGCCAACCGGGCCTTATGACAGTCTACGAACTCCTAGCCCTGCTCCAGTCGGTTCACACGTGGCGCCATCTATTCCGCCGGTGTCGGCTTGGCCTCCTAGTGCAGCTTGACAGTGAGTCCGCCCTGCGCGTGGCCATTAAACTGGCGTCACCACATCCCGTCGTGAACCGATTGGCAGCCGAAATGGCACTCCTCCTAGAGGACCTAGGAGCTGAAGCATTCACCGGCCAACACTGGCGCAACATCATCAACATCGAGGCGCAGGCCTTGTCGCGCCTGCAGGAGGGAAAGGACGTGCCGCAACGGTTGCGGGGCTTACCACGGGACTCTGCTGACCCACCTCCACTTCGGATCCAACGTGCACCTCGACTGGCACTCTAAGCGTGAGCTGGAGGGGGTCGTAGTGAACTTGCCCATGTAGTCATTCCAGGTTACCCCAAATCTTGGTCTATGTAACCCTAATGTTTCGTTAATACACCCAAGAGTAAACTCATGTCCACTCCATCCCCTTACCTGACAGGTTACTTAAGCCATCAAACTTCAAACTTCCCGCAGCCCTTTTTGCTCATGCTGGCCACAGTGGCCCTAACCATCGGAGGGTTGTCCCGACTGACCTGTTGGGCGCCCTTCTGGTCGACTTGTTTTTTCACGGCCCTCCTGTGCTGGGCCGCGGTGTGATGCTGCTCTGCACTGTGCGCCGGCGGCATTGGAAAACTGTTGGGCTTACCGCGGGGCTTGTCGCGGCATTCCGGAGTTCGCGACCGAGTCAGGAGGGAAAGAAACGACAGCGAACCGACTCCTGCTCCGGAAGGGGAAAGGCCCCGACCGCTGCCAGGGGGACCAATACAGCGGAAAGGGTCCCATTGCCGGCAGAGGGCACAACATGCAGGCCCAATCCGTCTTCAGAGCCCCTGCCTCAGCCAAGCAGGGGCGGGACTGGAGGAGTCCGGGACCGTTGGCATGGGCTGACGGACCAAACTTTGGGACCTGGGCAAGTTGTGGAACTGGGAGAGCTTCCTTCGAACCATGACCGCATCGCAGTCCTCGTCGGGATCATCCGGCAGTTCGAAGGAGGACGCTGGTGCAGGGAATGGCACTCCCGCTCCGCCGCCGGAGGGGGTGCCGGAGGCAACCGGCAATGCAAAGAAGAAAGAAGACCGGCGCAACGAGGACCCCCCGGATCCGGGCCGGGGGAACCGCCGTCCTTGGGTGCACCCGGACGCGCCGGAGTTTGCCCCGAGGTGCTGCAGCTGCGACAAAAGTGGAATTGCTGCATTGGCACACCAGGGAGAAATTACAACGGATACCCTGGCCACACGTGGAACGGGTCCGGACGGGAACCTGCGGCTGGCCATATGTCTTGCCCCGAACACCCGAGGCATCATCCGGGGACATGACTCGACACGCAGGTGTGGGCACACCCCCTGTCCTAGGTGCACCATCCGACTGGAGGACCAGTACATGTGCGCTTGCTGTGCGGCTCGCGTCCGAGCGCAGGGCTCAGCGCAGCACGGGGCCGGGCGCCTTCCGGCACCCTTGCCACGAGCCAACCGGCGGGATCGGCAGGGGCCGCGGAGGCTGCCGCCGCCCCGCACGGGGGGGCGTGCGGAGAAGGAACTTGCCCCCGAGCGCACGGAGGCGAAGGAGGAAGAGGATCGGACGGAAGCCGACCCGCCGCAGGAGGAAACCGCGGGCCGGAGCCAGCAGCAGCAAGGGTGGACGCACGCCGGGGAGATCCGCGTGACCCACACCCGGACCTGACCGAGCCGCGCGAGTCGCCGCCGAGGCCAGAACCCAGAGACAGGGAACGTACCCCGCGCCGCGCCGCCGTGAGGAATCGGCGCCACCCGGTGGATCGCACCTAAGGCACAGACTCTGAAGACACAGATGACTCGGTAGAGGAAGAAGAGGTCACGGAGGAGGAACCTGACCCACATCGAGGCGCGGCCCCAGAGGGAAGCCGGAGGAGCCGCTCCCGGGAGCACCCACCGGACACCGAGGACAAGTATGAAGGGTGGCCCCGAACGTATTGGTGCACGGTGGGATGTGGACGATACGGCCGAGAGAACGTTGGTACGTGCTGCGGGGCTTGTGATGACACCGGCGGCATGGAACATACCAGGGACTGCGACCGCCGCAACGGAAGGCCGCCTCCTGACTATAGCTGGCATTGGGACCCACCTGGCAAGGGCGGAGGTTGGGACCCATACGGCGGAGGGGGAAATAAAGGTCAAGGCTGGGGAAAGGGGCGCCCGACCAAGAAAGCGGCCAAGGCCAAGCGTGACTATGATCGGAGTGTCCGGCGCCGGCAGGAAGGAAGGTACTGGACAAAGGCCCCCTTCCCCGCCGAAGCTTACCGACTCGCCTTGGGCATGGGAGTAGCTGCTTCCACCCGGCGGTCATGGCGGACAAGGATTCGTACCTGGGACGCAGCCGTAGAGCGGCTCCGCCGGGAGGAGTTGTTGGTGCCGGCTGAAGACCCAACACGACTGACCCCAGAAATAGCGCACAAGGTTGTGGCGTTCCTCAAAGCGCAGGGGTACAGGTCTGCCGAGCTGTACCTGTCAGCCGCTATGAGAAGGCATAAGACGCACCACGATGTCGATGGCCCTCTGAGCTTGGCCAGCAAGGAGGCCGTACAGATGGCATTGAGGGGACGGGGACCGCCTGTGGGGAAACAGCCGGTCCCGATACCACAGGCGGGACACCCGCAGTTCAACCTGCTGATGGTAGGGATTTGGTACCTGCTCCGGGTATCCGAAGTGATCAACCTGGATCTGGAAGATGTTGCCATCAGACAGAGCACAGCCGGCTGGACAGTGGCACTGGTCATAAGGAAGTCGAAGACCGACCAGGAATCCCAGGGGGAGACCATAGCCCGGGATTGTGTTTGCCTTACTTGAACCCGTCCGGGGGCACACAGGCTGTGCCCGGTCCACACGCTGTGGAACCAGGCTATCCAGCGGGTGAAGGAACTGCGCGCCCTGGGGTACACCGGGCAGAAGGTGCCGCTGTTCACTGCCGATGACGGCGGGCGCATGAGCGAGAGGCAAGTCCTGAATGCCGTCGAACTAGCCGCCCGAATGAGCGGCGAACCGCTACAGGACGACGGCCGGGCCAGGTATGCGACCCACAGCCTGAGAGTGGCAGGGGCGGTGCTGGCCTTTCAATCCGGGCTCTCGGAAGCAGTAGTCCGGAGCCTGGGGCGGTGGCGATCGGAGAGGGCCATGCTGGCCTACCTGCGAGGCGTCCCGCTGGTCCGCGCCGCCAGTGCAGCCGAGACAATGGTCACCGCCATGCTGGACGCCGGCGGCAACCCACTGGGGTCCACCAACTTCGGACCGTTGGTGCGAGCCGGAAAGGTGACGGGCGGTTGGGCTCTCGGGGCGAGAGACGTGTCAGGAGTACCGACCACCGAGGAACCAGAGGAGGTAGACCAAGAAGAAGGTCCCCGGGTGAGGAACAACCTGACGGGTCTGGTGCACCGGCTCGGAAACTTCCGAGGACCTGCCGCTTGCGGCTGGCACTGGTCGGAGCTTGGAACGGCCGGGCAATTCCTGAGGGAGGAAGGTGCACAGTGCGGACGGTGCTACAACCTGAAGCAACAGTAGCCGCGACCGACGGTCAAGCAGGAGGCCAAAGATGATGGGAGCGGCTCGGCAAGGGCACAATAACCAAAGAGATAGCAATTACGATTTTAATGATAATAAGAATAATGAAGGGTTAGTCAAATCAAGTGAGGTTGATAGGGCCCTTCATTGTCAGGAGTTTTGGTTTGTTTTGACCTCCCTGAGGAGGGGAAACACCAGTGATCCTGATGTGGAGGGGGTTTTGTCCTGGGGAGATCTGACCTGGGGGGACACGGATTCTTAGGTCCCACTTGGTTAGGTTCGTGTTCCCGGTTTACCCCCTTGCAAGGTTTAGGAGGTCCAAGCATGAAACCTTTGATGCATCCGACAACCAAGGTATGACCTCGCCTTTCAAGGGATGGGCGAACTTGCAGCACCATCAGAAAAATAGATTGCGGTCCACTGCGGGCGGTTGGGCGGGGTGTCGAATCATCACGGGCATCGTTGTTGGGCAGTGCATTCTGCACGTACTAACAACTGCACGTGGAGCATTCGGTGGGATGGCTTGATCAACCATGTTGTGGTGGCCATTTGGGCTTTAGGCGGGCCACCGTAGGAACTTAAGGGTGATCTTGCCTTCCCTTTGTCTTCTTTGAAGAGGGAAAATTTTCCCCCACCCCCCCACTACCAACGGGAAAATTTTTAAGCACCTTCATTAACCTAGGAGGCCAAAGATGATGGGAGCGGCTCGGCAAGGGCACAATACCCAAAGAGATAGCAATTACGATTTTAATGATAATAAGAATAATGAAGGGTTAGTCAAATCAAGTGAGGTTGATAGGGCCCTTCATTGTCAGGAGTTTTGGTTTGTTTTGACCTCCCTGAGGAGGGGAAACACCAGTGATCCTGATGTGGAGGGGGTTTTGTCCTGGGGAGATCTGACCTGGGGGGACACGGGTTCTTAGGTCCCACTTGGTTAGGTTCGTGTTCCCGGTTTACCCCCTTGCAAGGTTTAGGAGGTCCAAGCATGAAACCTTTGATGCATCCGACAACCAAGGTATGACCTCGCCTTTCAAGGGATGGGCGAACTTGCAGCACCATCAGAAAAATAGATTGCGGTCCACTGCGGGCGGTTGGGCGGGGTGTCGAATCATCACGGGCATCGTTGTTATATATATATATATGTCCAGAATCTTCCAGATGATATGTCAGAAGCTATTTCAGAATAATTTGTCAATCACTCGAAGTATACGGTCATTTTTTCACTGGGAAATATGAAATATGGTGATTGATTACGATTGAATGGGATAATGGGATTTCATGAGTATATATGCAGATGGGATGCATGAGATACTTGGAACTTGGTTGAACATTCGCCTGGGATGTATATATTTTGCATGTTTGGCCAAATTGAAGCTTACTGTAAACTAGGCAAACATACGGGAATTCAATCAGGAAAATCCCGGGAAGTTGTCAGGGTGTGTTGTTTTCTGGAAAACTCCTATCGGCCTCACTTCCGACCAGTTGTCTCATGTCAAATCAGCATAGCATCAAATTCGGAGTCACCTGTAGGACGCAACCATGAAACAATGGAAGTCATCCCAACACAATACTGGATACAAATCAGGTATGGGTATGATTCAAAGTGTATAGCTCGCCAAAATTGGCCAATTTCACTACGCAGCATCCCATTTTTTTCTGTGCAATTGGGACGCAATATTAACCCAGTTAAGCTTCAGAGCATCAAGGTTTTGACATGTTTTGACCTAGACAAATACTGTTGGTGGTTTGGAACATGGTTTTTATTTTTCCATATATTGGGAACAATCATCCCAATTGACTAATATTTTTTAGAGGGGGTGAAACCACCAACCAGAATATATGGAAACCACCTAGACATCATGGCCATGTCGTGCTGAATCAGACCAAAGAACACTCTGCTGTATCCATTTTCATCAGCATCTTTGGTATGGGTCTTGGTGAAACGCCTCGCTTGGGTCTAAAAAAACTGGCCAATTTTTGTTGACCAGCACTTTTTTTTTGGCTGCGGGAAAGCACTCCCTGGTTAATTCCTTTTGTAAAAGTGTGAAAGTATATTCGTTGTACGAATCCTTTTCTTCATTGCTTTCCCCACGTTTGTTGATTTCCATTCTTCCTGTTGTTCGTGGTTCGCTTCATAACACTCTTCATTTGATTTGTTCTGCGATTCCATTAAACATTGGAAAAGAAACTCATAAGACTCCGTTTTTTGATTGGATTCTTATATGGCTACGGGTCAAAAGTTATGACATTTTTTTATGTGGGGATGAACATCTCTCCATTCCTGTCCCCATTGCCGGACGTCTTTCATTGTTGATGAATACTTGTAGTGGTATATCTTAGCAATATACCCTCTGGTAATTTAACGTAGCTATGGAAAATCACCATTTTTAATGGGAAAACTCACTATAAATGGCCATTTTCAATAGCTTTTTGTATGTTTACCAGAGGGTATCCCCACTATATTCCTATGATTCCTATGATATCCCAATTGGTTCCATCCCCATTGCCATATTACCTCAGCGGGGATTTCAGCATGCTAAAATGGAGGTACTGTACCACGTCAGGCCACATCTTGTGGGGATCGTGATATATTCCCTTACATAGCCCTTACACAGGACTCATAAATGGTATTATCCCCATGGTTTATTTCCAAACAACAACTCTAATTAGAAATTATCAATAGACTTAGGTCTGTCTATATCTCACTCTCGTTCTGATTAAAGTTTACTACAATGTGAGGCCCCCCAGTTATAAGTTGGTTTATAAGCCCCATTAACTATAGTTATAAGTACCATAAACCATAGTTATTGGGGTTATAAACCAACTTAGCTATCTTGGGGGCCTCACATTGTAAAGTTAGGAGCCCTGAAAATCTACGTCCACGGCACCAGGGGATTTGCTGGATGCAGTCCAGCGGCAAAGGATTTTTGCCGATGGCCACTCGACAGCCGTGGGATTTTTGGAGAAATTGGTGTACCATGGCTTTGGGTCAAAAGCTATCTGGTTGGTGGTGACTGGAACATGGCTTTTATGACTTTCCAGAAACAGTTGGGAATGGAAAATCATCCCAACTGGTCCGAACTCCATCATTTTTCAGAGGGGTGGCGAAAAACCACCAACCAGCTATAGATCCAGTGATGAATTTTGATCTTTGACCCTTAGCGGATCGATTGATCTGTTTTCTGGTGGACGAACATCTACAGATCGATTGACTGCTTTGAGTTTCACCACAGGTGAAGGGTATTGGCGTGTGAGTATATTCTAACCATGGGATATAGGGGGAAAATCCGCAAATCTGATATAGACATTGTAGACTATAGAATATCCAAATCAGAAATGAAAGTGAACACATGGGGATTGAGAAAGAATGGGATAGGGCCTGGGGATATAGTGGGGGCTATTTGGAACCATCATTGGGACAATACGAGTATTACGAGTGGGATTTACTAAATCAATGATTCATGACGTGAATCACTATCGGATACGCTATGCTTTCACATCGTGGGGCCCACGATTTTTTTTCGGGACATGTCGTGATGGGCCCACGACTCGGAGATGTTTTGTGGATCCCCATTATGACCTTTCCGGAGTGGTGGTTTTCCCAAAAACATCATGGCTGTAGTGAAAAAAACCAGAACTGATCATGGCAAATGTAAACATTCCACTGATGTAGCCGGAAAAAAACATAAAGTTTACATAAAGTTGTTGTTCAACCATGGTGGTTTCAACCTATAGTGTGATTTGATGTACACTGATGAAATAGAATATTATATTAATGATGAAATATAATATTATATAAATTTATATTATATATATAATATATATGATATGTTCAATATATTTTCTACTGTATTAGATTGTATGATCTCATGCCATCCGGAGATGTTTACCCAGGCCCAGGTCACAATATCTTCATGCGAATGGCAGGTAGTTTGGAAGTTCCCTTCTTTTTTAGTGATATCAGGAAGTTTGGTGCTCAACTCAGAGTTCTTTGATATTCTTTGATTCATGTTGATGCTGAGTATTATGCAAGTAGTGTTCTTATGATGTCCACAAGCTAGATTCTGACAAACCTCAGTAGGACTTTTTTGCAACGTTTCCTCCTTGGCCAGTGTTTGAGACACCTCAAAGCTTGATACTGAAATCATGTACCCTCCAGTAAATGATAGACCCTGGCAGTCATCAGGGTTGGAAGATTAACGAAGATTAGTTTCCACTCAAAAATGGGTGATATGTTCATTGCTTTTCGGGGTCGAACTGTTAATTTACCAGAGGGTAAATCACATGGAAACTTATTAACCATCATTAACCATCATTACCCCATACTAAACCATCATTAAACATCTTACGTTTCTGGTGGGAAATCCCCACCCAGTGCCAGGCAAGACCTTCGTGGATCGGCCGCTCCGTCACTCGGAGGGCGGAAAGAAAAAGAATTATATGACAGATGTACTGGTGAATGGGGTAATGATTGGTTAATGGTTAATAATACTGGTTGGTCGTGACTGGAACATTGGTGAAATGTATGGGGTAATGATGATTAATGATGGTTGATAATGGTTAATAATCACTGGTTGGTGGTGACTGGAACATGATTTGTTCCATTTCATATATGGGATGTCATCCCCTTCCCAATTGACGAACTCCATCATTTTTCTAGATGGTGAAAACCACCAACCAGATGACATATATTTGATATTATGACATTTACCCTCTGGTAATTTAACATAGCTATTGAAAATCACCATTTATAGTGGATTTTCCCATTAAACATAGTGATTTTCCATAGTTATGTTAGTTTACCAGAGGGTATATGGGAATTTGTGGGATTCATGGGATGAAACATATGAATGAGATTCAGGGGACCCATAGGAATTAGATGGAACTAATAGTGGATACCCTCCAATCAAACGTGGGAATGGACAACCCCTCATTGATGATCTTCCCAGCTATAAATTATAAATCTCGATTTCACGTGGGGGATTGAAACTTGCAGAAACCTTCGGACTCACAGCTACGAAACTATCATATGGTTGCATGGCACCCCAAATTAGCAAGGTGACCGCATTGACTTCCACTAAAAAATCCTATCGACTTCCACTGAAAAATCATATTTGGCTGTCAACCACACAGTTTTGTTAGTTAAGTCCTCTGGTTGGCTAGTTGAATGGCCATGTGTGATGGAGAAATTCCATTTGTCGCCGGTTAGGTCACCATTGTTGCTGTGAGATGTTCATGTTTGATGCTTCAAACCCAATCAGCCCCCTTAAATCCAATGGTTTCTGGTTGCTGTATGTTGCTGTAATGGTTGGTCAAACTTGGATACCCCAAGATGGGGAATACTTCCCCTATGGATCCAAACACTGAGAAGGTACTGAAGCCCCTAGTTATCATACCCCAAGAAGAGGTACGGCTGCATCCAGCTGTGCTTTTGCTTTCATTTTTCACCTCCAAATCACCAAGTGTTCACCGCTAAACACACTCTTTTCGCCCGAGGTGCTGACCCCGAGGACGTCTTGAAGGCTTTCCAAAGGCTTTCGAATCGCAGCGATGCCCAGGCGAATCAATAGCGAGAAATGCTTCGAGATCCCAATTTCATGGTGATTTCATGGTGATTTAAGGGGATATTTTTTTGGGGCCTGGTGGTTATATATATATATTTATGTATATATAAATACATGTGATTGGAGGAGATCATACTTTATGGTGATTTTATGGGATTTCATGGGATGTTTCATGGTATGTACTGGGAATCTCATGGTAGATCATCAACTAATCAAATCATAATCTATAAATACTTGCCGGTGCAGTTGGGGGATGTTGAGGTTATAACCATGGGATTCTTACCCAAAAGTTGTGATATGGGGCACTTCCAAGAAGCATATATTTGCACTATATGGTTATAAATGATACCTATATGAACTATAACATAAGTTGGGATATATCATTATAGTTCTATATGGAACTATGATGATATATTTGCACTTCCAAGAAGCTGCATTCTTTGCTGACAAAATCTGCAGTTTTCCCTAATCATGGCGTTATAGAGACCGACAGGGCCGGGAATGGATGTTTGGGGAGGATGATAAAAAGGTGGCAGTATTTGCCGTAAAGCCTGCAAACCTAGTGATCAAATCCAAATTGTGGTGTGTGAAAATCTCAAATGTTAAAGCTACGAACACACACATATATATGTACATATTTATATATGTATAATTATATACATATATATTGTTCATTCTCATTTTGATGATTAATCCCTCATTTTTGACAGTGAACACATGTTTACAACTAGGGTGAAGTGAATTCGGTTGCCTTCCAAAATTGGGATGAGTAAGCTAACTGGCAAAACATTCTTTTCTGGTTGATTGATGTTGAGGAGCTCTCGATGTTAAACATGTTTGTTTGTGTGTGGAACCTGCATGAAATTGCGCAAGCTGTTTACTGGTCGCCTTAGGACCTTAGGATTACTAGAGGTCACACCGGCAGTCCGGCAGTATATCTTTTGTGATCGATTCAACAGAATCCACGGCATAAAGGTATCCAAATCCCATTATGGTATGAACACATTAATTAAAACATAGTGACTTTTTGGAGGGGATATCCCATGGACCATTGAAAGGGAATATTACCCGGCCTGGTAAACTAACATAACTATAAATCTGGGGATGAGTCACATCTGTTGTACCATATATCGGATGGTTATTTGCATCCATGATTCCAGCTATAACTTGATTTGACAACCAGGGTACCAGGGTGACTTGACCAAGATATAGGAGTGTCTAAAAAATAGTTTTTTTTTTACAGTCACCAGATTGCAATTGTTGATATTTCGCTAGGGACAACGGTTAACTGATAAGCCATTGGATTTTTCATGATTTAGTGGTATGTTATTTGCAGACCGATATCTCACGATGTCCAACGATGCTTCAAAACTCATTGATGGTTAAATCTGATTGGTATCCCATTGGTATCCCATCAAGGTATCGACGATGAGAAAACCCATAGCAGGCCTTAAAGGACTTCGTGGAACTCCACTTTGAGGCGGCGTGTGACGTGTGGCTCGCATTTTTTTCGCCAGTCATCCACCATGGGATTCCCATGGTTTCTGGATGTTTTTCATATCGGGATAGCCTCAGTTTTACCCTCTGGTAAACTAACAGTTTTAATGGGATTATTAATGGGGTTATTAACAATGGGATATTGAAACTAACAGTAATAGTTAATTAATGGGAAACCCTCTGCTGATAATTTGCTACATAGCTATTGAACATGGCCATAGAAATAGTTGATTTTCCCATTAAACATTGCCATTTTCAATAGCTATGTTAAATTGCCAGAGGGTATGTTGGGATGGAATTAAATGAATCCACAATTTTAATGACTGAGCAAGTTGAGAGCTTTGGAGATTGTGAAAACTCGCAAGTTGAACATAAAATTGAACTCTATAGTCCCACAATATATTTGCACAGAAAAATTAAAAAGGATCTCGTTTCAACATAAGGTACCCGAACATCTGATCCTTCATCAACCTTTTAACTATTACTTTGACTACAGTATTACTTTAACGATTAGAATGGCCATGAATGATGGTACAGGCAATTTTTCAGACACCTCTAACTGAGTTCAATCCCCAATGAAAAATGGCTCAAATCCCCATTTGTAGATGATTTTAACGTGATATATGTCCCATTGAAACTGAAACATCTGGCCCAAAATACCTATAGTAGTTGCATGCATTTGAAGCTAGGATATCCCAAAGGCCAGTGGTGTGGTTCATCATCATTGACCCCTAAATCTCAGTGGGCACAGCCAGACCTCAACCGCGAGCTCCTTTTGGTCCTTTTGTGCACATTAAATATGAAAGGTTGCTTGCTGTATACCCAATCATGGATCAACATAGCAACATCAATCTCCCATGGATGCAGCAGTGATCATCTTCAACCCAAAAGATAGCACAACCATTCCAGAAAGGAAACCAAGGAAGCAATCCTTATCTATATTCCCACTCTTCGAGTCACCATCATAAATTGAATTGCCATTCATGCATTTTAAATCTGGCAAATCAACAGTACACGCAAGCAGTAAACCTATAAATAATGTCAACACAAGTGTTACAAGCAAAGAACACAGTTAGATGTCACACATTACCGTACGTTTATAGTTACCCTTGCAGAATGGTGAGTTGTACAGGTGTTTATTGATTTTCATGTGAGGAAATAACTTAAAGCCAATGTGGAAGAATATTGAACTACATATGTCAAATCAAATTCTCTAAGTGAATGTCCTGAGCAAACAATTTGCTTAGTTTAAATGAAAGTGGCCTATGGTTAGTGCAGAAAAATATTTCAAGAGATATGCAATGTGCCTACATACGGCCATGGCAAGGAGCAAATCTAAAATATAAAGTAACACAGGTATAGAACAAAGTTCATGCCATTTTTTCCCAATCGGAAAAACGCAATAGTGGTGTTTGTGGAGTGTTATCGGTTTAACATTTTTTTTAATAAGTGTGGCCCCAATATGTATTTATATGACTAATATGTATATATATATATATATATTCATATACACACATGATAATATATGGTACCCCCGCAAAGATCTACCATCTGCTGTGGCTTTGTGACGGGTTTGCATGGTTGGATGTCAAGGGGATGCCATATATACAGGTTTTCTGCTAGGATCTGTGCGGGTTAGTATGGTTTATTGAAGAGAAATCTTGAATTTGCAATTTTGTATCCAGGAAACGTTGCGAAGTTTGCAGGGTTTTTGGGATTCAAGATTTGTAGATTCAAGACTTTCAGAAAAACTTTGTGGATCCCAAACCTCAAGTCTTGATGGGGAGAATCTGGATGGATGATCCAAAAAGTGTTTCTCAAATCTGAGGAATCCCGGATTCAAGATACAATATTCTGAGGAAAACTTTTTCGAGAATCTTGAATCCAGGATACAAGATTCAAAATTTTCAAAAAAACTTTTGAAATCCCAAGCCTGAAGTCTTGATGAGGGAAGTTCAAAATGGCACCTGGAGGATCGCACGTCGCACCATGAGGAGCAATTGCGTGGCCAAAAACTCACCCCGTTTCCTTAACACGATGATGGGTGGCCTCATTTTCCCATACATATTATTCTATAATATCCCGATTTGTTGAAATAGTTTTTAAAAAAACATGTGTTGAAATTACGTCCCATGTTAACCCATGATAGCAATGATATCTGATAGTAAAAATTAATTATTCATACCACATTATATCCCATATGTATCCATATGTTCCCATTATGTATCCCCATGTTTTTGACCGGGCCTGTAGAGATCTGTACAGATGATTTATCTATCATATTCATGGTGAGATCCATAGGTTTATCCATATTATTACCGTTTATCTCCCCAGAATCTCCATGAATATCCCATGATTTACCATCATTTCCGATCACCCCGACATAGGTCGAAGGACATGAGTTGCACCTTGGACCTTGGGCGGATTTCAGGTGTCAAAATTGCTGATTCTGGGAAAATGTGGATTGAACCAGGATGGGGATTGAACCAGACTTTTTATCAACAGGTTTTAGCATTACAAATACCCTCTGGTGAACTAACATAGCAATGGAAAATCACCATTTTTAATGGGAAAATCCACTATAAATAGCCATTTTCCATTGCAAACTGTTAGTTCACAAGAGGGTATGGGGGTTGAATGGTGATGATCAAAACCATGGACTTCACCGATCAGACTTGGGGATTTTTTTGTCCGGATTTCACATCAAACATTGGGATTGCGGTTTGTAAAAAAACAACTTCACTGGAAATCTACCCTCTGGTGAACTAACAGTTTGCAATGGAAAATGGCTATTTATAGTGGATTTTCCCATTAAAAATGGTGATTTTCCATTGCTATGTTAGTTCACCAGAGGGTATAGTAGTAATTTATGGTGCTTTTTGCACCAATAAGAAGGCGCCCCCTGGGTTGGGTGGGGCGACCCTCTTTTTTTTCACTCCACGAAGCCACGAATCCTTTGCCATGGGCGGAATATCATACTCAACGATGAACTTTCCCGAATCGGCTATGGATTCATCAAGGAAAGGAAGTGGTTCCTATAACAAAAAAAATCATTTTTCCCTAACTATATACGGTATATATATATATTATATAACTATATCACTATATCTATCATATACATAATTATACATACATATATATATATTTACATCTTTATATAAGGAATGAAACAATCAAATTAGTTTAGTGGAAATATCACCAGAACATGGCAATTCAAATCCACTTGGGTACAATGATTTAGTTCGGAGAATTTCACAGCTGAGCAGATGGTATCCCACCAAAATATTCAAAGAGGGAATCTTGGATATCTATAGTATGCCTGCTATTCCATAGGTATTCGTTCTATCATATTAGTATATTTATATTCCTTCTATAATATATATATATATACAATCATTGTATTCCACTGTATCCCATTGTGAAGGGATTACTGCCATGAGCCTGAAGCCTGGAGCTCCTGGCATTGGGCCCACACCGCATTCTCTCATTCGTCCGGATGAATCTTAGTAAAGCAATGTCATAATGCACCCATATATTTTGATGGTTTATACCACCCATAAAAATTTGGTAAATTTGGGGATGGTGGAATGGTGGATCCTATTGCTTTACTAACAGTACTGGAAAAAGACCATCTTTGTGAGGCCAAGTGCCAGGAGAAGAGGCTAAGACTCACACATGGAGATGTTCAAAGTGACCTGATGAGCAACCTTAACGCATTTGAATCATTTGATGGTTACCCTTTGGTAATTTAACATAGCTATGGAAAATTGCCCATTTAGAGTTGATTTATCCATTAAAAAATATAAACAAGGTGATTTTCCAGAGTTTTTTGTATGTTTACCAGAGGGGAACTAATGAACATGTAATCCATCAATTTCATGATCTCTTTGAGAAGCTGTTCGACTCTTTCAACCGGTCCTTATTTTCTTCTAACAATGTTTGATAAGGTGTACGCAGAGGTATGTTTGGTTCCCTTTTTCTTTGGTTCAATCCCCACTTTTCTTATGGGGGTTTAGAATGACGATGGATATCATGTTTCTTCTTGCTGTTTTCCAAGGTTGTTTCCAAAGTTCTGTGTTTTTATAGATATCAACGTTCTTAAGCCCAAGCGCGGTTTTGATTTTTGTTGCTTTTCCCATGTGTTTGTAGCTGGTTGGTGGTTTGGAACATGTGTTATTTTTCCATATATTGGGAATTTCATCATCCCAACTGACTTTCATATTTTTCAGAGGGTAGGTCAACCACCAACCAGTACCATGATATACCCAAAATTCCAGATATTTCCTGTCTCAGTGCTGAACCTGTCACATCTTTTTATCATGGTTTTACCGCACCAATAATGATAATTCATAGTGATTAACCACTATTAATTATCATTATTTTTCAGTGCATTATTCCATTATGAATTAATAGTGTTTTTTTCATGATAGTGGTTATAATACCACTATTAATTATTAATTATCTGTGTTTTCCCATGGTTTTCCCATGGTTTTCCCATGGTTTTTCCCATGGTTTTTGTCGCATCTGCCGAGGGAAGCCTTTGCCCCCTCCGACTTTTCGCCCGAGCCGCCCATCTTAGGGAAGATTCAGAATGAGGCCGGGAACGTTGGACGGGACAGCGACGGAGGTTCACCCTAAAATGGTGGTTTTTACTGGGAAAATGGTGTCATCATATTGAAATTGAATTTATTGGTATTATTTGTATTATTACTATTATATTATTATTATCATTGTTATGATTGTTATTATTATTATTGTTATTATTATGCATATACATATTTGAATCTGTTTGATATAATGGATGTAGAATGGGGATGTATTGGATGTCACCAACTGTAACTACATATGATGTCACTTGGTATGTCTAAAAATGGGAAAATACCCCCAAGAAAAATTGTGTTTTTTTCAAAGTGAAAGCATATGATTCATATGGTGATTAGCCATAGAATTTAAGGACGGATCCTATTTTTGGAGAATCCCAGCTGAAGCAGTCGGTTGTGACGGTTGTGATTTAGATGGACAGGCGGTAGGACATGGCAACTCGACAGGTGAAGGGTATGGGTTCTTCAGTCGACCCCCTGGTAGTCCGGTAGTCGATGTCTTGGGAGATGGGTAAACGATGGTAAACGCTATCAGACCACCACAGAATCCAAGTGTTTTAGGTTCCCAGTGATGATATCGATATCTGGGACATCTCTCGTTAACCTTACTGGTTCTTTTTAGTTACGTAAGCGTCAGCAGGTCAACATCAAGATCATCTGTTGAAAAATCCCCTGGTTGGGATGACATGTTTTTTTTTGCCATGGAAGATCCAGCTATTTTTAAGAACGGTAGTCACCATCTATTTCGATTAGGGCCATGGCTTAACCATGGCTATGTAAGAAATAACCAGAGGGTAGTTATAGTTGCTGGTTAAATGCTGGTTTTCATGTTGACTGTCAAGTGTTGGCGAAACTCCCATGGCTGGAAGATGAAAATATGTTGCCCCAAAACCACCAGGTGATTCACAGGGAAAAACACACACAGACAACATCACAAGACAAAACAAACAAGTCGACTAGGAAATTCTAGAATACTCTCTGGTAAACGTTATGGAAAATCACCATAATCATCCATAATCGATAAATCAACGAACTATAAATGGATCTAAATGGCCATGTTCAATATCCCAGGAGCTGAAATCCTGGGCTGTGGGCCTTCACGAACTGTGGAAGGAGCGGTGGCATTGTTTTTTCCTCCATGGGTGGCATTTTTGTCATATGGGGAGGTGTGAAAAGCTACAATACCTACTGGGAATAGATGGGAACTCAGAATCAAACGATTGCTGTGCGAATGATTTATGAAGGTTTCCTAAAATGGTGGTATACCCTTTAAATCATCCATTGTCATAGGATTGTCCATTATAAATTATCCAGCTATTGGGGTATCCCCATTTATGGAAAAAACCCAAAAAAAAAGCATATGGGTGTGTCTGAAAATAGTGTACCCCTAAACCCAATGGTTCATGATCATTATCCCTATCAAATGGCTATAATTGGGAATATACTCTATTTTCAGACAAACCCATCTTGTTGGGGATGAAGATCTTTTTACCACCGAATGGATCCAAGATTTTGAGCCATCGGAAAATCTTTTCAGCAATTTATGGTGGGTGGATGAGTTGAGCCATGTGGATTTGAAACCCAAATATCCTGCAACAAAAAGTGAAGACACGGAGATAACTGGACAATCAAACACAGAAACAAAAACTTGTTATTTTCAACGGGCGTTTGAAACTACTTGATAACTTGACATTTTACACGTTCGAATCGGGCGTTTGATTGTTAATCAAACTTCATAAACTATGTTTTTTCGAAGTTTCCAAAAAGAATTTAACAAACGGAGATTTGGCAGTGCTCAAAATACCTTCTGAAGGTCTTTGGAGCTGTAGGGATCATGGCACCCCACGATATCCATTTGATACATTAACGACTCGCTACTCAAGCATTATATGATGTACACAGCCCACTACATATACACATCAATATACCCATATTTATATATATGATTGAATGATTGGTTGATAGTTATATAGATAGACTGGGGGATAGATATAGATAGATAGATGGGTAGATAGATAGATAGATAGATAGATAGATAAATAGATAGATAGATAGATAGACAAACAAACAAACAATCAAACAATCAATCAATCAAACAAACAAACAAACAAACAAACAAACAAACAGATACGTACATACATATCCATATAAATATAAATGTACATATTATATATATATATACATTATGCACATACATGCATACATACATACATGCATGCATACATACATACATACATACATACATACATACATACATATATGTAAATATATGTAAATATATATATATGTTTATTTATTTAGGGCCGTAATTACTCTAATAATGATAATATCATATTATATAGATCTATTGTATCATATCCCATGACGATAGTCTTCCGGGAGTAGATAGAATATGGCAATGTCAAGTGTTTTTCAAATAAGTCCTCAATAAAAATGGGACTACTATTTTTTATTTATACAGATATACAGATACATAGATAATTTCTGATGTCATACATTGACAGTTCTATAGATATTTATGTCATACATAGACAATTGATTATGTATACATATATATATATACATATGATTATGTTTCACAATATATCTTTTTATGAATCATGATAATTATATCTATGATAATGGTTCATATGATTTTGAATATATCATAGATATATCTATTATTATGTTTTCAACATCATTTCTGACAATTCGCAAGCTCCGTCGCCATGAAAAAACGCTTCCAGGACCTCTGCCGTCGCCAGACCTCAGCCGTGCGGCGCTTGCCGCAGCGCTACAGCGCGCTGCCGCAGCGGCATCCCGTGGTGATCCCCGGCGGGCGCTTTCGCGAGACCTACTACTGGGTGGCATGGCACGGATTTTCTCACGGATCACACCAAGATGAAATATGATCCCACAACTGGGTGCGTTGATTTTCGATGTTTCACTGATTTTGATCGTTTTTTCCCCACCTGCCAGGTGAGGGTTGTTAGATTTTATCAGAGCTGTTCTCCTCATCCTCCTCCTCCTCTTCCTCCAGTTTCTCCTCGACCATGTCTGCATCAACTTCCACGTCCACTTCCGCCTTGCCAACTCGTCGCCAATCTCTTCGCCAACTGCCGCGCGCAGTGAGCACTGCTGGACCTCAACTGCCGGCTTCCGATCTGAGTGGTGGGCACGGCTGGACCTCAACCGCCAGGTTCTGAGCGCAGTGGGCACCGCTGGACCCCAACCGCCAGGTTCCGAGCGCAGTGGGCACCGCTGGACCTCAACCTGGGACCTTCAGAGCTCAGAGGGCACCGCTGGACCTCAACCTGGGACCTTCCGAGCTCAGTGGGCACCGCTGGACCTCAACGGCCAGATAGAATGCCAGAAGATATGGCAGATAGAACGCCAGATAGAATTTCAGAAAGAATGCCAGAAGATATACCAAATAAAATGCCAGCAGATATGCCAGATAGAATGCCAGAAGATATGCCAGATAGAATGCCAGAAGGTATGCCAGATAGAATGCCAGAAGGTATGCCAGATAAAGTGCCAGAATGTTTGCCAGATAGAACGCCAGAAGATTTGCCAGATAGAATGCCAGATAGAATGTCAGAAGATATGCCAGAAGATATGCCAGATAGAGTGCCAGAAGATATGCCAGATAGAATGTCAGAAGATATGCCAGAAGAAGATATGCCAGAAGAAGATATGCCAGATAGAGTGCCAGAAGATATGCCAGATAGAATGCCAGAAGGTATGCCAGATAGAGTGTCAGATAGAATGCCAGAAGGCATACCAGATAAAGTGCCAGAATGTTTGCCAGATAGAATGCCAGAAGATTTGCCAGATAGAATGCCAGATAGAATGTCAGAAGATATGTCAGAAGATATGCCAGATAGAGTGCCAGAAGATATACCAGAACATATTGCAGAAGATAGGCCAGGTAGAATGCCAGAAGATATGCCAGAAGATATGCCAGATAAAATGCCAGAAGATATGTCAGATAGAATGCCAGAAGCTTTGCCAGTAACAAACGTATAAATGTCATGGTGGGGATAACTCGAAGTAAAGTAATTTGTTGATGATGGACCAGGTTTGATGCTGTAGATGGGATTAGTTGGATTAGCTACTGTAATTGGTTACTGTAGATAAGCCATGAAGAATACCAGTTATATCGCAGTTACTAGCTAGTTAATTAATCCCATGGCCCATCTAAGTGATGGCAAAAACCAAACATGGAACTTGGAAATATTTAAAGACGCTGGCAATATGAAACCTGGGTGAGATACTTCATATTTTCAAACTTTGTATAGATGATAGAAAAGTGGACAACCTGGGAATATGAACTAAATATATCATCGAAGTAACATCCTGGAAACACTGTTGGGCATCGTTTTTGGGGGTTGGAATAATGGGACTGTAATTGGTTCCCGGAGGCTAAATGGTTGCGAAATGTGTTTTCGTGACCACCTGGAAGCAATTAGTCACTGGGATATACCCCGCTTAGTGACCCTTTGATGTTCATCGAAGGCAGGTGCTGGTCAATTTTTGGGTTTCTCCAATCAAAAATGTTACCCTCTGGTTATTTAACATAGCCATGGTATAGATGGCCCATTTATAGATGATTTTCCCAGCTAGATACCTCCATTAATAAGGGATTTTCCATGGCTATATTAGTCATAACCAGATGGTATATCCAGTGGAAGCAATCATCCAGACCACCCTCCAGTAGATTCACATATGGAAAATCCAGCGTTTGTAACTCATTTCCGCTGGGTTTTACCCACAGCTAGGCTTTCCATATATCTATATGAGTTACTTTACCTGAAACTCTTAATTTTTGAACACGTCTTCACTTTAGTGAGTAATGCCAGAATCAGATGCGGAAAACGGCTCTTAGAGTGATCTCTGGGGCAAACCCCAGTTGGGTTTGTCTGAAAATAGAGTAGCCACAAAAATGGTGCTAGAAAAAAGACCCTATTGAAATTGAGAAATCTTTGAAATCAGTGTCTGAAAATATGGTACCCTCTGGTAATTTAACATAGCTATTGAAAATTGCCATTTATTTATAGTAGATTTTCCCATGAAAAATTGTGATTTTGCATAGTTATGTAAACGTTTACCAGAGGGTACCTCTAAAAGACTCTAAATCCACGGGTGTATCCTCATTTTCCCGTTAAAGATGGCCACTGGAAGACCCATCCCCCATTGAAAAGACAGGAAGCCTCTGGGTGCCGGACAAAAAAATGCTGCCTTTAAGCTGGGCATATGATTTTGCATAAATTTGCGAAATTCATTCCCACTTCTTGATGGCTGATGTTTGTGTTTGAATCTTAGATGCTGGTGATATGAAACCTGTCGATTGTCAAACCCCTTCTCTTGATGCTGAACACCACAGTGAAAGACACTTCTCAACATCACTAAGGACACCTACTGGATAGTGCGCGGCCTGCTGCTGAGTGGCATGAACAAGACTGCACGAGGAGTGCATTGGGCTGGTTTTCTCAGAAATGGTGGATTTATCCCCTTGCAGTACTTTCTGGGGACATTGATCACCCTAACAACCTCAGCAGTGAGCAGTTTCATCCTTTTTCCAATCACAATTTTTGGGCGTGTCCCAACTTAGGACCAATGAAACAGGGCTTGGCAACCCATGGAGGGGTCAAAACATCACCGTTTTGGTATTTTCATGGGGGGCCTCAAAGGTGACATTGTACAATTCGGCACACGTATGCTAAGATCGACAACTCCGCAAAGTACCCTCTGGTAATTTAACATAGCTATTGACAATTGCCATTTATGGTGGATTTACCCAATGAAAATGGTGATTTTCCATAGTTATGTAAACATTTACCAGAGGGTAAATGCTTTAAGGCTTTAAGATAAGAATTATCATTCTATGGACCCATATCACCCCACATATCCATATCTTCAAACCACATATTTGTCGTGCATCATCCCAAAAATGTCCCTAAGGTAGGCACATAGACACACAGCTTATGGGATCTACGTATTCTTACATGATGTCTTAATGTTGGATTTCCAATCGATTATTAGCTGGTACAGGGTGGTGCTCCAGTTCGATCGCTAAGTTGGTCCAGTTCACTAATAACCTTGCGGCTTATCGTAATTAAGCAACTATATGCCAACTTATTGCCAACAAACGTAATCAGAGGATACCCAAACACGAATGATTGTCAATTCCCCATGAAAGCCCAATTGTTGGAAAAGCTCCATGTTTTTTTCGTTCTTTGCTTCAGGAGTGGTGGAGAATCTCTTGGACTACGTCCGCGAGTTCGGCTTCGTCCCCAACGGTGGCAGGGTCTACTACCTGGACCGGTGCACCAACGGTTGGGAGTCAGGTGGATGAAGCAGTGAAAAACGAAGGTGTTTCATGTATTTTTAAGTCATGGATCTCAATGAGTAATCCATGACACTAGTGGAATCTAGTGGATATGAATGGACATGAACATGATGGATATTGTTTCAGATTTTGTTCATGATTTTCATGGCTATTGATATTGGAGATGGAAAGGATATTGAGGTATTCATGGATATTTTCATGGATCCACCCCATTGTTCCGACCATTGTTCCATTGAGTTCTCCATCCCAAAATCTCAGATCTCAACCTCCAATGCTCATGGAGATGGTGAACGCCATCCACGAAGCGCATCCGGATGAGAAATGGCTACAGGAGGCCACCTGCGCCTGGAGATGGGGATTATATATATATACATAATTATATATATATAATTATATATATATAATCTTATATATACATATCTGGTTGGTGGTTTCAATCATTTTTTATTTACCATTTCATATATGGGATGTCATCCTTCCCATTGACGAACTCATATTTTTCAGAGGGGTTGAAACCAACCAGATATAATAATTACTATTATACTTGTTGGTGGTTTGGAACCATGGATTTTTATGACTTTCCATGTATTGGGAACAATATTCCCAACTGACGAACTCATATTGTTCAAAGGGATTGAAACCACCAACCAGATAATAATTACCATTATATATATATATTATCATTGTTGTTATTATTGCTAGTATTATTGTTCATTTTTATTTTTGTGTTATTATCATTATGATTACAGAACTAGTTTGTTTTATTAGCTAATTATTAATTGTCAACTATCAGTTATATATAATAGAAAATAGTGATTATTGTTACTATTATTATGATTTTTACGATTGGTGAATATATTGTGGTGGTTCTCAAAATGGGTAACCCCAATAGCTGGATGGTTTAAACTGAAAAATCATATTGAAATGGATGGTTTGAGGATTTTGGAATTACCATTAACACTATTTAAACCATTCCTTGCCATTTATTGATATTAGGCATATCACTAGGATTGGTTTATGGCTGGTGGATGGTTGATGGTGCTTTTCAGCGGCTTGGAGATGAATGTGGTAAAGCCAATTTCATAAACAATTCCCCCCAAACAATGCTATCAATGGGTGGTAACTATCGTGCCCAAATGGTAGGTTTATGGTGGTTTCTCATTGGAGATTCATAATGGGTTTAACCCTGAAGATATGATTAGAACCTCACTTTCTCCATTCTTTGGCCAGAACTGTAGGGTACACCATTTTCAGACAGAGGCATGTCTTGCTTTAGCCCAAAACAAACAGGTTGGGTGATCACATGGTAAATGCCATTTGCTGATGACATTTTTACAAAAATCAAAGAAACATTGGAATAGTTTTCAATGTGTCACTGATTTATGGGTATGTTTACCAGCAAAGTATGGGGATGATTAATTTAGATGATTCTTTGTGATATGATGGGTGATTACTGGTTACAGCCCTGAAATCCAAGCTTGGTAAACCAACTGGTGAAGGCTCGTTATGGGGATGGATCCTAACAAGCCAACGCAACAAACGCAGCGACATTGGCCATGCTGAAGATAGGTTTTTGTACCCCGTATCTGGAAAGAAGGAAGAGATACAAACGCGATGTTGGAGAAAGTTTGGCACAATTTTCCACGATATCAAAGACAATTTGGTATTGTTCAATATGGTTGCCAGTTTCTTTTAGCAAAAATAAACGCATGTTGATGATTCTCTGATATACGACCATGAAACACAGAAGGTTTCCCAACCTACCAGCTTACCGGAGGGTATTCACTACTGAACATTTTTGAGATCAATTGGGTCAAATCCAAAACTTGGGGATTTGAGTAGCAACTTGGGGATTTGAGTAGCAAACGGGCGGGTTTTTCAGCACACTTAGGATACAACCTCTGCATTCAGCGGACTTATCAAAAGCGATGATCGGTCCTGCAAAGGAGAAACAAAGTTGCTCCAACCTATACTGTAGGTAAATCATATCCACAAGACCAATGTACCACCCCTGTACCTGCGGTGTTTTTTTTGCAAGCCTTTAAACCAGCACTTTCCACAGGGTTACAATTTCCAATTAGATAATCTTACAACTTTCAGCTGGACCCTTGATTCTATTCGACTTGGATGGGATTTCCCAAAAATAGCTATGGTTGGTAACCATCCCGGTGGGACATCAATCAGCGTTGCAGGTGCTGCCGGTCATCGAAAAGGAGTATGTCTTCTGGATGAATTCCACCTTGGGACATTTTTTGCCATCGCTCCAGCTGAATGTGACTGGGCTCCTGGCTGTTTAACGATATTTATAACCCCCCAAAAGATAGAAAAGCTGGAAACCCTCGAAATTATGAAGGAAACACCACCTATGACATCCTGGAAATACTTTTGGGCATGCTTTGGGGAGTTATATACTCTATGTGCCATATTTACCCGTCATGGCATCGGATAAGGAATGTATGCATGCGTGCGTGTGTGTGCACACATGCATATACGATCATATACGTGCATACCCATATGATCCTACTAGTAGAGACTATACGCTGGTGCCTCTTCTGCTGCTGCTGCTGCTGCCTCTTCTGCTGCTGCTGCTGCCGCCTCTTCTGCTGCTGCTGCTGCCGCCTCTTCTGCTGCTGCTGCTGCTGCCTCCTGCTGCTGTTGCTTCCTCCTGCTGCTGCTGCTTCCTCCTGCTGCTGCTGCTGCTTCCTCCTGCTGCTGCTGCCGCTCGTGCAAACATTTTGCCGAAACAGAAAATAACAGTCTCGGTCGCCTTGTTTGGCGCTGACGGGAGGTGCGGGCGGGAGACACCAGCAGAGAGAAGGAATGTGTCTGGCTGGTTGGAATGAAACATTGCAGTCGCATAGCGCGGTTGTGTCGCTGTGCTCACCAACTGCGCCATCTCGCACCATCTCGCAAGGCAGCGCAGACGGCAAGACGGCGCAAGACGGAACAGACACAACAGACGGCGCAGACGGAGCACCAACAAAACCTGCCACGCTTTCCGCCCGCAATGGAATGAAGGTTTTTTTTCCAATTCGTAATTCCTGGGCGGATAGGACAACAAACTTCTTGAGAGCTGTCCACGACATTGATGCACATCGCGCCAGCCATAGATTTGGTTGCGGAAAACAAGGGGCCCCCATATCCTTATATCATCCTAGATCACAGCCCTGCCAATAGGATTTGCTACAGCTAACCCACTTGCATTGCAAGAAATTTGAGGATGTACCAATAGGGGTTTGGTTTGATCACGCGACGCAGGACATCAATATCATATATTCAAATCCCATAGGATTGGCTGCCGAAAATTTGTTTGTATTAACTTGTGCCCTTCAAAATCTTCGCTGTGCGCAATGCTTCGGCTACTTTTAACTACATCTCCAAGTATAGATGAAACAGGCTGTGCCATGGTGATTCTTCTTCCCTGATGTGACTTTCCACTACCTGATGTGACTTCTCCGTATCGCCGCCGTGCCATGGGGATGATGTGACTTTTCCCGCCTGAAGTGACTTAAGTACGGTGTTAGTACCTACAAATATGTCAATGTATATATATATGTGTGTACGTGTATATATATATTATATTATTATTTTATACACATTACCTAAATACAATACCCAATAAAAAAATGCATGGCTTCATCAAGACCTATATACTACTTACACCCTACATATACTACCTACACATGTTCTGAGCGTACCAAAAAAAACCACTCACTGCATAGCGTGCCCATATACTGGACATCAACCACTTGCAGCTGAACACTGCCCATGTCGGACTGCTGTTGGGACCCCGGGGTGATCCCTGCTCTTAAAAAACACGTATTGAAACCAAGGTAAGTATAGATTTGCATGATTTAACATTGTTTTAAGGACATATGTTCATATTTCCATAAACTATGTATTACCCTTTGGTAGGTTATGGAAAATGATCCATCTAGTTCAATGATTTGCTTGTTATATTTGCGGCGATTTTCCATACCAAAACATACCAAAACGTCAGTCATTACCAGAGAATAATACTTACTTGGAATTGCAGTTTTTGTTATAAGTGGATATATAGCCATAGTTAGAGGGGTTATATCCCAGCTTATGGAGGTTTGTAACCATGGTTACCATGGTTATATCTATTTATAAACCCAACTGCACCTCAAGTATACAGGCATTTTCATGCCAAGATTCGTGATTTTTCAAGGAATCGACAGGTTTCGCTTTCAGGTCTACTTCTCGAATGCTCAAAGTCCCCGTCCCGAATCCTACTTTGAGGCACTGGACACCACGTGGGTTCGTCCGAAGGGGATACCTCCCATGGAAAATAGCAAGATTAATAGGGGTATTGGTGATAACCAGTGGATGTGGCTTAGAGAAACCCAATTTGGGTATTGGTATATGTTGCACAACAATGCAAACAGATTTAAGTGTATATTTCTTAAGTTACAACGGGATAATATTACTTTATGTGTGTACACGAACATATTGAACCAGAACAATGAGGATATAGCCAGCAAAAGATCATTGCGGTTCACCAACACAAATGGGTCATTTAACGCACAAATTTATAAATATTGATGTGTATCTTCAAATTTGGAATATGTTCAAGCAACTTTTGCATTTGGGATGATCAATTGGGATATGATGGGTAACTAGATGTAACTTATCCTCTCCCCCTGATACTAAACGGAGGGCTATGTTTTTTTTTTTTGTTTTCCAGCCTGGCTTCTGTGGCTTTTGTGGGTGTGTGGCTTTTGTGGCTTTACCATGCTTTACCTATCTATCTATCTATCTATCTAATCTAACCTAATCTAATCTAGTCTAACCCAGTCTAATCTAATCTTTTTCAATCTTATATCATCTTATCTTATCTATCTATCTAATCTAACTAGTCTATCTTATAAACTATCTATCAAATCTATCTATTCTATCTAATCGATCTATCCAATCTATCTAATCTATCTAATCTAATCTAATTTAATCTATCCTATCTAATCTAATCTATCCTATCAAATCTAATCTATCCTATCTAATCCAAATCTAATCGAAATCTAGTCTAATCTAATGTAATCGATCTAACTACCTATCTAACTACCTATCTAATCTATCTATCTACCTACCTATCTAATCTATCCATCTACCTACCTATCTAATCTATCCACCTACCTATCTAATCAACCAAGCAATCAATCAATCTATCTATCTACCTATCTATCTATCTATCTAATCTAATCTAATCTAATCTAACTAAATCTAATCTAATCTAATCTAATCTAATCTAATCTTATCTTATCTTATCTATCTATTTGACTATCTATCTATCTATCCATCCATCCATCCATCTATCCATCTATCCATCTATCCATCTATCCATCTATCCATCTATCCATCTATCTATCTAGCTAGCTAGCGAGCTATCTATCGAGCTATCGAGCTGTCTATCTGTCTATCTGTCTATCTGTCTATCTGTCTATCTGTCTATCTATCTATCTATCTGTCTGTCTGTCTATCTATCTATCTATCTATCTAATCCTATCTATCTATCTAATCTTATCTATCTATCTATCTATCTATCTTTCTATCTTTCTATCTATCTATCTATCTATCTAATCTATCTAATCTATCTAATCTATCTAATCTATCTAATCTATCTAATCTATCTATTCTATCTAATCTATCTAATCTATCTAATCTATCTAATCTATCTAATCTATCTAATCTATCTAATCTATCTTATCAATCCATCCTATCTATCCTGTCCATCCTATCTATCCTATCTATCTATCTATCTATCTTGATATACACACCTTGTATCCCTACATGTACCTTAATAAACCCTCAACAGACTTAAATTAGACCCTAAACCAACCCTTAATAATCTTAAATAGCCCCAAATAACCCTAAATAAACCCTAAACCAACCAACCCTAAATGCACCTTAAATAAGCCTTGAACCAACCCTAAAGAAACCCTAAACCAACCCGACATAACCAACCCTAAATAAGCCCTAAACTAAATAACCCTAAGCCAACCCCAAATAAACCCTAAACCAACTTTAAATAAAACTTAAACCAACCCTAAATAAACCCTAAACCAACCCCAAATAAACCCGCAACCAACCCTAAACCAACCCTAAGTAAACCCTAAACCAACCCTAAATAGTCCCTAAACCAACCCTAAACTAACTTTAAATAAACCCTAAACCAACCCTAAATAATCCTAAATAAACCCTAAACCAACCAACCCTAAATAAACCCTAAACTAACCCTAAATAAACCCTAAACCAACCCTAAATAAACCCTCAACCAACCCTAAACCAACCCTAAATGACCCTAAACCAAACCCTAAATAAACCCTAAACCAACCCTAAACAAACCAACCCTAAATAAACCCTAAATAAACCCTAAACCAACCCTAAATAAACCCTAAACTAACCCTAAATAAGCCCTAAACCATCCCTAAATAACTCTAGATAAACCCTAAACCAACCCTAAATAAACCTTAAACCAAGCCTAATAAACCCTAAACCAACCAACACTATGACAGCATCCAATGCCACTATTTAGACCCCACACGGTTGTGCTTCAAGCTATATTCTACATGTTCACCAGGTGCATGTTATGCATGGAAAAATCGATTGAAACCATGGAAAAATCAATTGAACCAATGGCAAATTCAATGACAACTATGGAAAAATCGATGACAACTTTGGGTAAATCAATGAACACAATGGAAAAATCGATGAACAGTGCAAATGGTAAATTTAAGCTCCAAAATTCAGCAAAGTACACGGTTTTGCTCCAAAATGTAGCAAATAGCAAGGAAAAGTGCCCCAAACTGAAAATAAAAAAAAAACAAAAAAAACTTCACCCATTTGGAGGGGTGCCAAAAGAATATTTACCAATTATGAAAAACAGTTATTTTCCATAGCGACGTTAAGTAACCATCATATCCGATATTTGCTTCATTTCAACTTCCAGTTCAACTGGTGCCGGCAGGATCTGGCAACGGCAAAGGCGGCGAAAAGACCGAAGGCGGAGGTCTATCGTAGCATCAGGCAGGGTCACTTTGGAGTGAAAAACTCAGATTTTATGTTTGTTTTTTTGTTTTTTATGGAATTAAATTGTGATTTGATGGGATTTGATTGCATTTTTGATGGCATTTCCATGCATTTACGGGATATAATTGATGGCGTTGATTGGATGGGTGGATAGGTAGTTAGGTAGGTAGGTAGGTAGATAGGTAGATAGAGAGATTAGATAGGCTATGATCGACTATGATAGACTACTACAGTCTTAGATTTATATCAACGATCATGAATTATGGGTAATGGGTTTGTCATGGGGAATACCCCTAGATGGCATTTGTGATGGGGAAATGATATTCTAAACTATGGATTGTTTTTTACATATTAGTTTTGGACAATCCATATGTGCCATGGACAACAGCTGCGATGACCATACCCCATGAATCCCATGTAACCTGACGTTTGGCACACCGTTTGGATCCGTTTTGGGGTTTGTAGACCTTGACTAGATTCCTAGATTTACCAGGTTTCTATATAGATTGCTGAGAAATGGGAATACGATAATATATGTATATATATATATACATATATATATATATATATATCATGAAAATTATACTTGCAGCATCAGGAAGAAGAAGGACGCACTACGCAACACCAGGAATTCAAAGCTTTTGCCATTGCAAGCTGTATTGGAAGTGGAAACCGTACAGTATATCATGGCCCAGGGCCCCGATAGACTACTGTACATTGATGGTGAGCAGCAGGCATACAGCCGTGCGCCAGCTTTATCCCACTTGAAGTGGGTTTATCCAATGTAGAAGCAAGAAAGAACCAAACGTAACGTCTATATTTATTTGTTAAGAAATATACATAGCCCATTTGAAGATTCTAATCCAAGCCAGTTCAAAACTACATCATCCAAGCCAGTAGGGCTTGACATTGGGATATCCTCCAAGCTCATATCCTCCCACTGCTGCAGATCGGGTGCCGAGAGCGGCTGGGATTTTTCGAGTCGCTGGTTGGGCGACGGAAAAAATCTCAGCACGATCCAAGCAGAGAAGGTGGTGCCAGTAGATCTCAACTGCACCTTGGATGAGGGATCAATGTGATATATAGTGGATATTTTATATATATATATATAGTGGATATTATATATATTATATATATATATATTATATATATTATATATATTATATATATATTATAATATATATATATTATATTATATAATATATATTATATATATATATATATTATATTATATATATACATTGTATATACATATATATTATCTCTAATGGTATACCATTAATGGGGATAGATTATATATATATACATATTTATATTAACCAACCAATAATGCATATATCAACGAAATAGTAATGAATATAGTCAATGGTAATATTGTCTGGCTGAATTATTTTACCTCACGTCGTGACATCACTCGAATGACGGTATGGTTCGTGGAATCATCCCCATAGCTGGCCTTATTTCAGCTATTCTCAGGTTTGTCATATGCTATAATTCGCTAGATTATGAGGATATAGTGGGTGTATACATATATATATAATGTGTAATATTTAATATATGATATATAATATATAATTTTGTATATAATAGAATGAAACAAAATAAAATATAACATAATATAATATAATATTTATTTTTATATATAATATATATTATTATTTGATATAATATATAATATGATTTAATATAATATAATATATAATATGATATAATATAATGTAATATAATATAATGTAATATAATATAATATAATATAATATAATAAATATAATATAATATAATATTTGATATAATACAATATGCTATATATATAATATATATTGACCAACCATTAGCGGGTATATCAACCAGCCAATCTATATATGTTAGTTCATGGTGATATCACGACACCAATGGGGCTGGGATATTCATGTGGGGATGGGATTCCTGAAAAATAGGCCTTATATATCTTAGGTACCTCCTATTTGGGTTCCTGAAATGGTCATTGATGAATTGTTGCGGGTTTGATGCCAAAAAGACTTTGTCTTTGGAACATTGAAATGTTTGCTGTTGGCTGCGATAGGAAGATCCACTGCAACCGTTTCATATATATATATATATACATATATACTAATGGTGAATTGATCTCACAATGCTCTCCAGTAAACTAAGACCATGGGTTTCCTGTTCAGGATCTCCAAAAATAGTCCTTTTTTCCATAGCTATGTTTGTTTCCCAGAGGGTATATCATTAATGCAATCTGTAAATCATGGTACTCACATTAAATCACATTAAATCCTAGTTTTTATCGATGATTTTCATGATTTCCCCGTTTCAACTTCCATTTTTGGGGGATTGTGTAAATGTTTGAAGCCCACCAAGGCGTTCTCCTCCGCATGGAGCGTCTCCTCAGTCGTCATCTCCTGCCGCGGACGCCAAGCGCCGCGGCGCGCTATGCGACGGCAGCGGAGCAAAGGACCAAGGCGATGCAGCGCCGCTGGGCTTTCGGAAGGTGAGGAATGGTGATGTCAACGATGGGGAGGATTTCAGCCAGAACTGGGAGATGTTTCTATTGATGTTTATGAAATATTGATAAATATTATATGTATATATTATCTTGATTGTACTGTCTACGGAATATTGGGTGATATGATGGGATATATATATATATGACCAATATGAAGGTAGAATCGTTCCGTTGGCCCGGTTTGATGTTTTTTTTGCGATGAACACATTGGGTGGTTGTGGGATTTGAGTCTCGGGGACCCCACCATCTTCGTGCCATGTTTCAGATATGGTCCAAAAGCGCAATTGTACGTACCCTCAGGGCAATTCAACATCGCAATAATATGGAAAATCCCTCATTTACCTTCTGGTAAACTAACAGTTTGCTATTGAAAATGGTGATTCATAGTGGATTTACCCATTGAAAATTGTGATTTTCCATAGTTATGTTAGTTCACCAGAGGGTATCATCAGTTATAGATGATTTGGGTCTTGATTTGCCCATTCAAACCTCCGATGGGGCATGTCCCATCCATGCTTTGGGTTTAGGAGTGTTTAGGAAACCAGACAGCCGGCTCAGCTATCAGCGTCTCCCAGGTCTTCTATGGTCTGAGGAACTGAAGAGTTTCCGTGACTTTCGCCCCTTGGTCGGGCACGGAAACGTGGTGGCCGTTGCTTTTTGGTGAGTTGCAGTGAGTTCGCGGCAGGAGTTCACCATTCCCGTTTTGTTCAATCCTGGGGAAACGGTAGCCGATCATGTATTTCTTCAACGTGGCAATGGAGAAATTCCCAGTTTTTTTCCAGGATTTTCCCGTCAAGACCACTGAGTCAGCCATTCACATCTCCTTGCTGTCTGACAGAATCTGCGGCCCTTGCAGGAATCCCAGTCGTTAAAGGGGGATGTTATCAAACCCATAGGATCGGTGCTGCTATATATGGTGTGCCATGGATCCCATCAACAAAAACCCCCTTTATGTTAGCATATATACCAGCACCAGCCGGATCCGTCATGGGAATGGAACATTCAGCTATTCGAAAAATGACAAGCAGAAAAAATCTGTGGATTCCACCCTTTTCCAGTACTTGGTGGGGATCCTCTAAACGATGGACAACATCCTCATGATGTTTTTTCCGAAAAATGGCTACCCAAGTCCATCTCCAACAACCAAGACGTGTCTCAGAAAATTTGGGTTTGCCTCAATCTTTTGGGATCCGGAATGCACCAACATGGCCATTCGTTTTTGGGAAAATGATGAAATTTAAACCATTGGATCTTAGGGATAAATAGCCCATTGTGAGACAACCCAAATATAATATTGTTGGTTATACACCCTGTTATCCCATATTATCCCCATTATAAATTATATCCCCATTTATTGATGGGTTTATCCATTTATCCCCAGTATATCCCCATATATTAATCGTTTCCCTTGGCCTCTTAGGTTTGGACACCCTGAAGCATTCGGAGATCGTGTCCATCTCCGACTTTGCAGCACCATTGTGGGCAGGCGAAACGTCCATGGAATGGGGGAATTGTGTTGATCCCAATCACATCTAGAATCTAGACAAATCTATATGGCATTACATACATGCTTGTTTCATGAACCAACAAAGCAAAATTGACTATGTTCGCAGGGTATGGGTGAACCCATGAGCAGCAAAGGGACTGGTCATCTATGAATCGTGCAACTGTGGCATTAAGGACCCTACAAACACTTCCGGAGACACGTCTTGTTGCTGGTTTTTTGGTGGATTCCAACAGCTTTCTCGGCCTTGGAACACCGCTGGTGTTTTTTCAGGACTTCCAGAGGCTGATCAGGGCCCTGGCTTGCTGCAGCAATTGGAGCACAGTGGGCTCTTGCAGGTCACCACTGAAGCGGTACCGGGGATCCGCTGTTTAATTGGTACCCCTGATGTGTTTGGGCAAAAATCCCAGAGGAAACATGACCCATAGGATCCATGTATGGTATATATGCTAACATTGGGGGTATATTGATGGTAAATGTTACCATATATAGCATACATGGATCCTATGGGTGATGAAACATGGACAATCTCTGGATATCTCAGTTTTGAAACCGCTATGTCAATCATGTGTAATTTGGACAGGCCGTCTGGCCAAACATTTGAGAAATTGTCGCGTGGGAGGAGTTACCTGTAAATTGGAATTGCTGGGGTAAAGCGCAAAAAACGGTTAGACAGTCAGATAATTAGATTATATAGATCGTGTTAGATCATATCCTAATCTCCTTGGAAATCTTATCTTCATCATAGCTGGTGAAATTCTGCTGGTAAAAACATTGTTGATTAAATCCTCACTGTCACTGGTCAATGGTTTTGAAACCGACTTTCTTGATTCAAATCAGCCCAAGCCACCATTTTTCTCAGCAAGTTCTGAACATTTTTTCCTCCTGATCCGAAAGAAAAATCGTGGCTCCAGGTGGGTGGCGCCAGCACCACCACGCGGAAGTCTGATCAGCAGTGGGACGCACCGACAATCTGTGGCAGCAGTGGAGGTTCACCAAAAACCAGCTGGTTTTATCCCCTGGTTTTGGGTCATAAATGGGCATAACATGTCATAACTAGGTCAATCCTGGATGGGTACAAACTAATCCTAACTAGTCTTTTGGTATGAATCGGATGATCTACGTTCACCAGCTAAGAATGTTCTTTATTTTTTTGCAGGGTATCTGGCATAGATTGGCCATGATTCGGTCATTTTGTGGTTTTTTTCATGGTCAGAGTCATATCATGGCTAATGGGATCCCCAGGGGATAAATCATGATAAATCTATATCCTCAATATTTATATTCTGGGTCCCTGGTCATAAATGATTGAGGATATTGAGGATATTTTCATGGGGATATAAATATTCATCAATATAAAACCAATATAGATTTTCTGGTCATATATGGTCATTCATTGAGGATATTTTCAGAAGGGGATTTTCATGGGGATACCCTAGGAAAATGATCGACATAATGGTGGAATTCACTGGCCTCCAGATCTATGTTAGTATAACCCGGTTGGATAATCTAAGATAATGTTATAGTAAAGTATTATATATCCATTACTAAGGTTATATTATATAAGTAAATGTTATTTGGGAAAGTTAATACTAAGGTTTAACCCCCCCAATTGAGTTCATAGATACATGTCGATACGGTGGTACCAACTTTAATAGTAGTATATCGGGGTTACCTCCCAATTAATAGTCAGGGTCTACTAATCCGTGGTTGACATTGACCATGGAAAATTGCTATGTTTAGCTGACAACACTTGGTTGAAACCTGTTAAAAACAGCAAAACTGAAATGATGTTTGACCCGGAAAAATCAGAATTTAACATAATTTAACCATCAAACAAATGGAGATTGAACCGTCAAATGATGGAACATCACGTGGAAAAAACTGAGTTTTCATGAGTTTTCACTCGTCAAGCTCGGGATTCGCTTCACTATGGAGATTTGGATGAAACCAGCGAACATGTGTGAATTCTTCAGCATGCATGGCATTTGTTTCAGCGCAAGAAAACTATAGGCAAAGGACACAGATTGCAAGCAATTACCCATCACTAGGTGCTCCAGGTATTTGTTTTTCGTAGGAAAAAAGACGCAGCATTTTTCGGTTCCGCATCCTGGTGGCCGAGGGAAAGGATTGATCCAATCATCTGGGGATCACCAGAGATCAAGAGTCATGCTGCCTTTACGAAACCGTCCCCAGTCGTGATCAGCATGATTTCTATGGCTGGTATGGCTGGTATCAACTGACCATCCCCAAAAAGTTGTATCAGGTTTGTGGCTAAAGCAATGCCATAAACCAATGCCAAAACCAGCCATGTTTTGGTTCAAAAACCCATCAGGCTGTACGATTTGGTGATGTCAGGGGTGGCACTTCCAAGGAACGCCTGGGCGCCATTGCAGCTGATGTTGATTGAGGGACTGGAAGATTTGGCAAGCAAAGTACCAGGCGGAAAGTCCATGGACATTGGGTCATCGACTGGATCACTGGGTCTACCATTGATCCATAGTGATCCAGAATGATAATGTGCCATAGTTGTCCTTTTGATATCTGTTGATCCTATGTGGAACCCCTTTTTTTTGGCAGCAGAAGGTGGATTTCAGCCACATAAAATGGGTTTCAAGTCACGAAAAAGTCACAGGCCGATGGTTCTGGAAAAAATTGGTTGATATTTCTGAAGCTGAAGGGGCTAGCCAGTGATGTTGATATGTGGATATAGAACCAACAACCAGAATCTGGGAATACCGAAAAAGGCGAAGTCAAACCAAAATGGCCCGAATTCAAATTTTGGTTGCGCAGCAGTTGAGTGGACATGTATGGGTTCACGGGGTTTACTACAACAAGAAGGAATGATTCCAAAATTGGGAGTCAAGTTATATTTTTTAGATATGATGTTTAGATATGTTTAGTACTTTAATTTCAGAACTTTAAGAATCCAGTCTCGGAGGTTTTTTCGTTGATGGTTTCAAATATGTGTTGTTTCAACCATAGAAATGGGATGATATGTGTTGCCAATCACGAGCGTATGGGTTCAGGCTGGTTCAGCCACCAGCATGGGATTATCCCATCACATCCCATTAGATCCCATGCTGTATCATTATTAATCCCTTCCTCCTAATACTAAACGCCCCCCCCTATTACTAAACACGGCAGGTAGTTTTTCGTATTAGGATGTATTAGGGGGGTATTTATTATTAGGGAACCCTATTAATAAAATTAAACCCTTAATTTAAAAACTATTTTTCCGATCTCAAAATCAATCAGATTTCTTTATATAACGCGATTGAACAAATTGCCGAAAATTGGATTTCGAAGCTTCCCCCTAATATTAAATTAAAACCCTTTTAATAATAAAAACTATTTTGTCCGATCTCAAAATCAATCAAATTTCTTTATATAACGCGATTAAAATATTGCCAAAAACTGGATTTCGAAGCTTCCCCCTAATACTAAATTAAAAACCTAAATATAAAAAACTAAAAAAATCGGACGGACACTATTAATAAACACCCCGGGGCTGACTAGTTTTTAGCATTAGGGGGGAAAACCCACAAATTGTAGCTTGGTTTTAAATTTATTTTCTAAAGGGGATCAATTAAAAGTCTAATTTGCCAATCTCAGGAAGGCTTCGGTTCGTTTAGGTTCGTTTCGGTTCGTGGAAACCTCAAATAGGGGCGGTTCGGTTCATCAGCAGGCCGGTTCGTTTCGGTTCGCGTGACATGGCGGTTCGGTTCGGTTCGGTTCGTGTGACATGGCGGTTCGGTTCGGTTCGTGTTGTGTAGTGTTGCAGGACGAGAGGTCTTTGACAGAATGGGTGTGGATGAATATCAAATAGGAATGTTATGTTGCAGCAGAGGGATTTGGTTTTTGAATATGTTTGAAACTGGTGGTGGGGCCGAGTGTTTGCAGCATCTAAGTAAGCAGTGTCCAAAACCACGGTTTTTTGATGACTAAAGTGTTTATGCTGTTTCTTGGATTGGGGATAATGATTATCATCATCAACTATTAGAATTCTTACATCTAACCAGTGTACAGTGTGAAATTGACAGATCCATTGCCAACGGCATTTTCATTTTGCGAAAATCACTTTCAGCTGTCGAAATCCAGTCGTGGCCGGCAGAGGTTCAATCAGCAGCCAAATGCCATTTTCATATGGCGAAAGTCGTTTTCAGGCATCGAAATTGAGGCAGTGCCTGCAAATCTCAAACATTAGCCAAACATCATTTTCATTGTGCGAAAATCAGTTCCGAGCATCAAAATCAACACACATCAGACAAGGACCAAAGCGAATTTTCGTGTGAACTAGCCTCGTTTGGGCGCATCCTTGTGGCTGCCGTGCTGAGTCTGAGAGGCCAGCGGGTTGGGAGAGATTGGTGGTTGGACAAAATTGCTGAGCCCATGTCAGCATGGTCTACGTTGCTCAATTTTTTGATTTTGCTGCCCGCAGCACTAAAAGCTCCTACCCGTTTGCCACACTCCGGGCCACCATGTCCATGCCTGTCTTTCGTGAAATTGGTTGGTGTGAAGAATGGCCGGCTGCTGTGACAAGAGTTGTCGCAGGGCTGAAGAATTTCAGCTTGGTTTCCAATGATGGTGTGGAAGTGGCTGTTCCAACAGATGACACGGATGCTGGCAGCCTGTCCGCAGCAGCTTTTCCTCTCAGAGTTTGCCTCCATGCAGACGCAGAGCTCATGGTGCATGGTGAGTCTGTGCAGTTTGACTTCAGTGAACTGGCTGCATTGAAGCAAGGGCTGTTGCTAGAAGGGCACCCGAAAGTTGAAAAGAATGTGCCTGCAGCCGATGGCCACGCTCAGTCCGAGAAGGTGGCACCATTGCAGTCGCCGAAGCGCAGAATGGTGGAAGAGAATGTGGTGAGGATTGGTGATCAACCGAAAGATGGAGCAGAGCAACCGGAAAAAAAGTCTCGCAAGGGATGCGTCTACAAGAAGGGTGTGGACCGAGAAGTGCAAAGAGAACAAATGCGACACCAGAACAATGAGAGGAGCATCCCACGAACGCATATCCTTCAGTTGGTCAAAGAGGAGCTGGAGACACTTGGCAAGGAGCAGGGGAAGAGTTTCAGGATCGAGTCGGAGGCAATCACTTTGCTCCATTCTACCGCTGAACAGCTTGTGGTGGAGATGCTGTCCCTTTACAACCGTGCAGCCATGCAAGCCAAGAGGACAACCGTTTTGGCCAAAGACATTGCCTATGTTCGCGCGTTGAGTGAGGTGCTGAATGCCCACCTGAGCTTTGTCCTGCGGGAGGATGCTGAGAATTGTTTGAAGCGCATTCACGCAAATGCGTCTGAGGAGTCTGCAGCCGGAGGACAGGATGTAGACTGAGTTTCTTTTATTTTTGGGGTTGCGAGACAGGCCGAAGCGCCAGTCTTGCAGGGGAGAAGCACGACTTCCTGGATTGGTGTGGGGCAGTTTGGACCAAAGACGCAAGCTCTGTGAAAGACAAAAAGGAGTTTGGAGACATGTAACGGTATCCATTCTCTGTGAGCTGGGCACTTTGCGCAGCTTTGGACAGAGATCTTGCTTTGTGCTGTTCCGTCCATTCTGGCCAGGTGCTTCTTCGGCAGTGAGGCAGAGAGGCTTTGCTGACAAGGCTCGGAGATGCAAACATGGAAGTTGTGTGTTTTGGTTCCGTAAAGTTGCAAGCAGTATCTTTCAGCTGCTTTTGGGGTTGTAAGTGTCTAAAAATGATTTTCGGACAGCCAAAATTGTGTTGGGAAGCGATTTTTTTCGTCACGACCCTTGCTGGAAATATTTGTGAACGGGATCGATCACATCAATCTTGGCCTCGAGCCTCTTCATGCAGCAGCCTTTTCTTGACCCTGTTGCCAGGACATGGCTCAGAAGTCGAAAAGCTGGGTGCATGAGCTCTTTTGGCCGAAGCATCCTGACACTGGCCATTATCGTTTCTGCAAAATATGCAATGAGGAATGTCCAGACCCGCGACAAGTAGCAGAGCTGCAGAAGAAGGGAACACCCCTTTCGTCCATTTATATGGGTGTCGTGCAGAATGATTGTAGCCCTTCAAGTATGATTAACCATGTGAGAGCAAAACATGAGGACCAGTTACCTGAACACACACCGGTGAAGCGGAAGCGGTCAGACTTGGAAGAGGAGGAGATGCCCTGCAAGGATCACCGTTTGCTGCGGGATTGGGCAACAAACATGTGTTTAGGATCCATGTACCCTGTGAAAATGGTACGCGACCCCAATGTTCGGAAGACCTTGCACAAACGGCTTGGAGGCCTGCCTACGGACACACAGATCCGATCAGAATTGCAGGATGTGATTTCAGACATCCGTGCGCAAGTGCGCAGCCTCATTGGGGAGGCACAACGTCAAGGGATCCAGTTCATTCTAAGTGCAGATACCTGGAAGCCAAAGACAAAGAAAAGACCTCATTTTCTTGCCATTTACTTAGATTTTCTGGAGCCAACATGGGAGCATCGCACCGTCTGCTGCTCGGTGACTGTGGCAAAACCTCCGCGGACAGGACGGGAGCACTGGGTGGGGAAATGGTGTGGATTCTTGGTTCCCGACTATATCGAAATCATTTTTGAACACTGTTCTGTAGACATTCCTTTAGATACCTTTGTCCATAACCTAGTGAACACAGGCTTGCTATGCTTCCAATGCCCCCGCTCAACGCCTGACGTTAATATACATTTGATAAACGTACGCATATGAACCACAGCTGAAAACGATTTTCGGCCTTCCAAATTTCACTTCGGGCACCTTTTCCTACGGCAGTTCTGAAGCATTTCTAAATTATGTATATAGTTTGTGCAAAGCACCAGCCAGGAGCTAGATATGCTGAAGCGTTTGAGGGTGCTCTCTCGGACGTTGGCCTGTGCAAATCTGATATCCTTTGTGGTTTGAGCGATCACGAAGGACAGGGAGTTCTGCAACGGCAGCCAGAAATGCGGGCGAGGTTTGTTTGATGTCTTATAGCCGTATCGAATCCCAATCTTGCCGAAGCCTTTTGCTTTGCAATTCCAAGCTTCTGACATGTCATTCCTAATTTCCCATGGTGTTTTGGACCGTGCCTTGGTCACAGGAGCCATACGACTTGGCTTACGCCTCTTGGAAATACCGATCGTGGGCTGCGGCACACACGCAGTGCAACTCTGTGTGAAACATTGCGTTCCACCGTTGAAAAAACGGCAAAAGAAACCCGCTGCAGTGCAAATGGCTAGCGATGACTCGTCGGGCAGCGACGCAGACACTGGCTCCGATAGTGATAGCTCGTCATCAAGCACCAGTTCTTTGTCAGCTGATGGTGCCCCTGCAGCTGCTCAGTCTCAGCCTCCAAGGCGCAGAGGACGACAAGAAGACCCTGAGCAAGTTGCCATTCGAAAAGAATTGGAAAGTTCGTTTGAGAGGCCCGGTGGGTTTACTTCAGTAAATCTCACTGTCAGTCACCAGATGTTGCATTTCTTCTCCCTGTCTTTGTTCTCTTTCCCTTTGCTCTCTTCTTTGAAAGTCTTTCCTTCCGGCAGCAGCGCAGGTTCCGCAAAATTGCCAAACATTTCTTGTACCGTGAAGACCAGTACACTTGGTTGGAAGAGGATGGCAAAGCTGCAGGCCTGCCCGTGGTGTCGTACCAGGCCGAGACTCCGACGCGTTGGTCTTCATCTCTCTACCAGCTTATCTCGATTTGCCGCAACAATGCGTCTCATGGGGTTAGCAGGACTGATTTTCGTCTTTGATCGGATATAAGATAGAATCATCTTCTTAGGTGAGCAGCAGAATGGTTCGGGTTAGCATTGAAATGAACAATTTGAGTGCTCTTGCTCTTGGTGGTTGCGAAAGGCATCTAAACATGATTTTCGTGACATCAAAGTGGATTCTAGAACCTTTTCCGTGCCAGAATGAAAAGCTGCAGGCTGCAGGATGTTTCAGTGAATTGACCGAAGGTGAGCAACAGAGCTTTCTTTCTGCAGGTTTGATGAACTGACGGGGATGAACACGTGACCTTTTAGCATATCCGGTCTTCCCTGTGTTGTTGGTGTTTTCCCTAACTGCCCTCAAAATATTCAAAATTCCACATAGTTGAAGGTTCCCCATGATTGACTAGTAATACATCAGGAATGTTAACCCAGGAGTAAGAAATCATGTAGTTTATTAGGGTTCCCGGGAATAGTCATTAATTAGTTATACTTTGGTTTTGGCTCTTGCCATATTACTAAACAGGGGTGTCTTAATCCTGGGATTGACTGTAGCATTTATCGATTCTGCTGCTTTCCTCCTCTATAGATACGAAACCATTTATTGTTGATCTTAAATTTAAGGGCTGCCGCCCATGCCGCCGACCCCATAGCCCCATAGTAAGAACCGATAAATACACATACTTTTACATGTATATACGTTTAGAAACATATGGATGATATACAGATACGGAGAAACATATAAAGATACATGTATATATATATATAGATATGTGTATATATATATATTTGTATATATATATATATATTTGTATATATATATTTATTTGTTTAATTGTTTAAATATACATATATATATATGTATGAATACATATATATATATATATAAATACATATATGTATATATATATATATGTATGAATACATATATATATATATATATGTATATATTGATTTGTTGCAGATCTTAATTTTTCCCGTTCTAACATAGGTGCACTTGCAGATGTCACATCCCATGTTGTTCTGTGCCCATCTAAAATTTCCATTCTCTTCCAAAATGCTTGTTTAGTGCCCCCCATTCTTGTTGATTGAGTTTTCAATGTTTAGGAACCATATCCATATCCCTTATTGAGTGGTATTTATTAGTGGACTATTCCATACAGTGTCCGGTGTACCGCCACTCTATCCTCATAACTTGTTTCGATATGCCGCTACAAACCCACAAGTGTTCCTACCTATTCCCAGGGGCGGGTCCCAATAGCACATCAGAGTGAGGTGAAAACACATCCAAAAATGATTTTCGGGATCCCAATTTCAGTTCGGGAACATTTTGACCGGGCCATTGCTAGATGTTTTGAGACAAAAATGTATCATTACCATTGCCATGGAAGGAACAAACGCAACACCGATGCACCTCCTGAGCTGGACAGAAACGAGCTCAAAGAGGCCTTAGATTTTTGCGCGGTGTTGGAGCCTTTGAAACTTTCGACCAAGCTGTTAGAAGGTGATGAGAAATCTCTGGCAAGCCTTTATTTGCCAGTTTGGACAAAGGCACTGGAAACCCTGGAGCAAACAGGGAACAAGATT